GATCTGGTGGGAAGGCTTATCGCAGATTGTTGCTGAGTTGGTCACAAGTAGAACTTCCAAATCGCTTGAGAGCCATGAACAGGTGGCCATGCACCAACGTCCTAGTATTGCTCATACGAAGGCAGTACTGTACAGCCTTGCAAGGATCTAACTTTGCAGCCGATGAACGCTCAGTCCAATGTTGCATCTGGCAAAATCACTCACTTATGCGACCTTGAACTTTGTGCAGCCCGCCTCGTAGTCTCAGACCCTGCATAGATAACACAACTCAATGTTCTAGATGGATGAGCACGTCCGTACTGCAAGTTGCGTCGTCGATGCGTCTCCAATTGCAGGGCTTGATAAGCGAAGGAATGGGATTTCACTTACCTTGTTCACTGATTGCATCCAGATTGCAAGTCTGTTGTCGATTGTCTAGCCGTGTTTGAGCGCCCAAGCGTCCGCGAAGTTGTTCGCCGGTCCACGTCCAGGGCGCCTTCGCCGGGCAGCGCCACTTAGCGGCGCCGCCAGGCTCACGTCTGCCATAACGTCAGCCGTTTCGCTCGGGGCGCCGTCCCGGGGCAGGGGCGCCAGAAGCGTACGTCAGTTCGTGGCGCCTCCGCGTCCTGTCCCAGCGTCAACGAAGCCTATTGACCACTCTGTCAAAGCTGTGTCCAAGAAGAAGGAGCTGACCCCTGACGACATGAGGACATGTGCCCCAACTGCAACAAGTCCCTCCTGAAGACGGAGCGGTCTCCCGTCCGATGCTGGCAGCTTATTGCATGCGAGCCGTCGTTGCCAGGGCGCAGCGCCACTTCGCGGCCCGCGGAACGCAGCCAGCTGGCTGTCCGCCACGGGGCATGCCGTTCCGCCCGGGGAGCCTTCCCGGGCAGCACCATTTCGTGACGCAGAGTCGCCTACTAGGTCGCCTCGATCGGGGCGCCGACGCTGGGGAGCGCATCTTTACGGCGCCGCGGCAGCACCTAGGTCCAGGCTAGTACGACTCTGTGCGCAGCCTTCTGCCTGGGCGCCTTCGCGGAGCAGCTCCAGCTTTCGCCGGAGAGCCGCCTGGCAAGCCGCCGCGGCGTCACTTGCGCGCCCGGGGGCCCACAATCTGCTCGCGGCCGGGCGCAATGACCGTCTCGTTTCGCCCTCCGAGTCGTGCCGCACGCTAATGGAAGATTCATAAGGTAAACCCGCGGCGCTGCTTACCGGGCAGCGTCGATCGCGTTTCCGCACGCACGCCATATGCAGGCCCCTTGAGCCGGACAAACCACTGAGGGCCGCTTCATCGGACTGCACCGCAGCTGGGAGATTCGCCGGACTACATCCAATTTCCGAATTTAAACGTCTCCTGCAGCAGTCTGGCAGACCTAGTTGAGCCTGCAAGATATCGACCGTACTTGGGGAAGCAAAGCTAGCTTGCTTGTTGGCCGCGACGACTGCCAGAATGTGCGTCTGCACATGATTGGACAACGTTGTTAGATTGGGATTCTCAGGATGTCGCTCACAATACTAGCTGCGGATCCAGCGACGACGCGCTAGTGCGTGAAGCGAGCGCGCGGCGATCCGCCGCCGGCGAAGCTTAAGTTCGTGCAGTTTGAATAATCGTCTGCTACGTACCATTTACTTTAACTAGCTAATTCAATCCTTGATTCTCAGCATCTACATGGTAAGCGCGCTGCACGGAGCGATCGTACTGACCGTCCTGATCGGAACGGACACTCTTCTGCGTTGACGGTATACAATTGAAATTTGAATATGAATTCCTGATTGAACGTACGGTAATATATATGCACACATGTGCGAGACCATGATGCTGGCAAGCCTGCATCGATGATCTGGTCATGCACTTGCTTAACTTAGTTAGTTAAATTACAATACGCTGCGTACACATACTAATGCTGTCACTGGATCAATCATATGGTTAATACTATAGCTTATAAGCAAGCCCCCGGCCGGCAGCCGTACGGTACTTCCGAAGTTCGCGCTGTTCTGCAAATTTGCGGCGCGTAGGCACGCGTGCCATGAGCAGCGCTGCACAGGCTGCATGTGGCTCACCGTCCGACCGACGGTCCATGACTACACCGTGGGTCCAAGTCCGAATGGACGGGAAACCTGCTAACTCAAACGACGATCATTGCGGCCCAGCCGCCTTCAACTCTTCGACTAACTCATGATTACTGTAGCCAAGCGTTGCCCGCCAGACCTCAATGTCTATGTACAATGAATTTCCGCGACAAAACAATCTCTCCCAGCTTCGGTCTTTTTTGCAGAATCCAAGCACTTCAATGGCCGGCCTTGCACGGTCGAAGGCCCAGACATTTAGTGCCAGTTTGTTAGCCAAGGCAATATCTAGCAAAGTGCGAGCATACACGTGCTGGTGTTTCACGTCCTTGCTGCACGCGTGCGTATGGGCAGTTTGGCCATGGCTGCAGCGGTGAGTGCGGGGTCGATGTTGGCGTACTGCTCGTAATGGTCCAGCAACTCCATCTGCACTGCACGCACCTGCACCAGACCACCCGAGATTTGTAGATCCCTGCAAATGTTGACTTTCCTGCTTTCTCAATTGAGGTGGTATCAACAAAGGCAGCGCTTGGTTGCAGGTCGCTGCCAGCGCTTGGAGCATTCGTCAGAGTCGTTAGATTCGCAAATCAGCCAAACGTGCGCTCGGAAAGGGACGCGCAAGCAGTCAATATAAGGCCGCCAGATGCTTCAGAAAAAAAGGTCCAAGCCTCACGGATGCGACAAAACAGGACGGGTCAATTTGCCGGACACTCCCAAAAACCCCTGCCAGAGATGTGCGTGAGCTCTGTTCAAAGAACGACGGTTTTGAAAGCCGTTTTCGTAGACGCATTCGTAGCCCGCAAGAGGAGCGACGCGATGGTGTGCACGAACGTGCGGTTGGACCATCCCGCTGCAGAGCCGGAACTAGCAGCAGACACGACGAGAAAGCACGGGTGCGTTGCCTCACGGCGTGCATGTCTGCCTTGAGGTCCTCGAGCCATGGCTTGGCGTCGCGGTCCTTGAGGAAGGCCGCCAGGTGGATGCACCCCAGCGCCACCACGTGGGGCGGGTGCAGCAGCGGCAGGTCCGTGCGGTACACGTCGTTCAGCAGCGACCTGCGCATGGCGGGCGCGAAGCGGGACACGCGTCAGCCCGGCAGGGAGAAAGGGCGGAGCAGTCAGATGCCCGCCGGAAACCTACAGAACAGGTCCGTCAGGTGAAACCGTCGTCCGAGCTGATGTTGGTTCCACAAAGACGAAAGCTTTGCGTTATTCGCTGACAGTTACGGGACCCAAGAGCGATCGTCGCAACAGGAGGCACTGAGAGAGTAAAGTCCCAGACGTATTCTCGAGTGCCCGGGGTTGCGCAACTGCCTTCTCACGCGCTCGATCAAAGTCACGCCCTCTTTGTTCTCAAAGTGACTATCTTATCCAGACGCTGTGCCATTGCAACCGACTTGACGTGGGCGTGCGAAGGCTCACCACGTGGTCTGCATGACGTCAGTCAGCTTGGCGTCGTTCAGGTACCTGCACGGAAGTGACTTGTGAGAGATGAAGACTGATTGCTTTGACGCTCCTCAACGAAGAACGTTGAAGCTGGGCTCTAACGTCGGGTCACACATTCTTCTTCCAGTTTATCGGTTTGATTAGTCGGAACCTTTTCCATAGGGTGCCAGCGTCCTATCCGTCCGTGAGGTACAAGGCTCTTACGAGAGGGGCAGGGGGTGTCAGATGAACGACAGAAGCACGCTAAGCGGTCGCCAACGCTTTGCACAGGCCGTGGTAAGCGGCTCAAAGTAAGATGTATGTCCACGGTGTAGCAATATGAATAATCGTGTTTCCAGACTACTTTACCAGCAACGCCCCGATCCAGTATCAGGCTGAGTATCATGTCCGATGCCGCCAGACAAGGACACGTTACCCAACTCGAAGCCTGCGTCTAGAAAAGACTCGTGCAGCCCCGATTTGCCATGCTTGTAGGAAGTGCAATCATGCCCAGAAGGCCAGAACAGACGTCAAGAACTTTGAAACCGAGGCTCAAACAAGAGAGAAAACAGGGAATTTTGCCATTTCGCTCACTGCACTGCTGCGTGGTAGGGGTAACAGACGCCGGTTTGGAGTCGAGCGCCTACTCAAGCATTGTTCGCAAGTCCGAACTCCAAGAACGGACTCCAAGAAGAGAAAATCCGAGACCGAGGCTACAAACGGGTGAAACCTCTGCAGAAAGGAAAGTAATGCTCACTGCACTGCTGCGCGGTAGGGGTGGTAGACGACGAGGCGGAAGTCGAGCGCCTCCAGCACGCGCAGCTCCATGTCCAGCAGGTCCTTCACCTCCAACTGGTACGCACCGTTCTCGGGGCCGGGCTCTGCCGCACAAAACGGCGCGAGCGCCAGCGGGTGAGCAATGCGGGTGGAAGAGTGACAGACCTCGGTCGCGAATTGAGCAATGCATCCTCAAACTCGCAAACTTAGACCAACCAGTCTCAGCGTGTTCGAACGTCCGAACAGGTTCTGAAAGCGTAGCACCCAGTTGCGAACAAGCAAGTCTCAATCCGAGGAGTTTTGTCATGCGGGCTTTGCTGATGTCTGCCGTACCAGCACTGCCAATGCAAGTCAAATTCGCTCAGCAAACGCGAAGAATCCCCCCAGTCCAGAACTGGATACGTCCAAAATCAGTTGCTTCACCCTCAAGCCTGCCGAGCATGTTTCCAAATCTGAGCCGCTGTTCATGAATCACGACGTCGGATGGGGAAAGGCTTGTCCGAGCTTGCAAATGTCCCGAGAAGTGCAGGCCAGGTGGCCTCTAAGATTTGGGGCGAGCGCACATTGACCCCTTCTCAATCACACGCAACTTTGATTAACGAAGATACGATGGCCCGGCCCTCACTAAGTTTCTTGGCGTAAAAGACGAGCAGCTTGGCCTGCGCAACGCTCTCCTCCGCCTTGCTGGCCAGGTAGAGGCACGCGGGGGCGACCAAGCGAGGGTCGTACTCGCACAGACTCTTGCTGCATGACACAATATGGGGCGTTGACAACGTAATACACGCAAACAGATGAGAGCTCCTAAAGCTGGATCCGACCGTCATGTTCATCTCATGCATTCCATCCACTTCCGCAAAGCTTACATAAGCGCAAAGTACACCAAAAAGGGCCAGAGCGGTCGCACTTCTGCTCGAGGATCCTTGCATCAACAGCCTGCCTGCCTAGACTTCTTCCATCAATGAAATCAATATTTCCAGGGATATCGATGTCCCTTAGCAACTTGTACGAGGAGACCTTTTTCAAGCCCAGCGAACAAGGCTTGGTTTAGCACTGACTGCCTCTGATTGAAAAACGCGCGTCTTTGGTTTTTGAGAGGCCTTACCTGACGTACATCCTGCGCATGTAGCAGACTGCCGTCGCAACCACCCTGTGATGGTAAAGGAAAGCTAAATCAGGATTGGTTCAATGTCCGGCTCCGTACTGGACGTATGACGGGGTCACATTTGCTGCGAGAAGCGATGCTGAAGGAGGGTTTAGGAAACCTGATATTCAGTAATGCTTCTAACATATCATCTGCGGCAATTTCTGTATCAAAAATATCCAAACACTCCCCCGGATAGACAAGAAAATCAGTGTTTGAGCGTGCGGCAAAGCTCACCGCTGCCTGAGCTTGGCCTGCTGCGCAAGGTCCCTCATGTCTGAGAAAGAGGAAGGTGAGGGCGTAAGGGACACAGAATACACCACACTCTAAGAGATGCACCCAGTCAAACCCGACAATACTCTCATGCATCCCTGACCAGAGCGTGAACTAAACACTTGCCCCCTCTTCCAAATTCTCAAGACAGCAAGATGGCCGTAGCCGAGAATGATGCGGGGGGGTCAAGCAAAGCCGGGGAGAAAATCACTAATGGATGCTGGGTTCAAAAGTCCAAGTGGGGCTGCATTTCAGTTCTAGCCGTCCAAACTTTGCATTCAAAATTGGGTCTGGCAGGGGGGCCTCCTCACAGGTGGTCATGGCGATCTTGATGAGGCGCGTGTCCTGCAAAGTGAGCCCAAGCTCGAGGTCCTCCTCCGCCACACGGCTCACCTCCTCCACACTCAGCAGCTGCTTGCTGCACATAACACTGCCACCCTGCCTGAGTAAGGAGTCAGGGGGTTGGGTTACATGTCTGGTTTAGTGGTGTACAGGCCCTTTTGCCCCCGTTAAAAGGAGCTGAGGAGCCGAGTCGCCGTGTTGCTGATTGTACTCCTCAGGACAAGTCACAACCATACATCCACCATTTCTGAGAGCCATCAACATTTCTGAGAGCCATCAACAAGGTTGGCAGTCGACAATGCCAAAGTGGTGGGTGAGGTGCCAGTGAGAGGACTGGCAAACAGCATCAGCAGTAGACTACTTCCAGTGCAATCAGCACTTATACGTAAGTCCAAAAGGGACGACGGGCTGCTGACAGAGTTACAAATGTGGGGCCAGCACTTTCCAATCAAAAGTGGGAAGAAAAGGAGGGGCTCTGAAGCAAAGCGGCCCTCCCACCTCTGATAGGACGCCCAGAAGTCTGCGGCCATGGCTGCTAAAACAAGAGCACGACTTTTAGCAGTCCCAATTCCTGTGTCAGATGTTCATGACCAAGAACATCCCAAATAGCCTCTGCGGACTATGTGCTTTCAAAACTTGCACTCGAACGAGGTGGTGTCAGGATACCGCTACACCTATCCTACACCTATCCAAGCATGCCCAATTTCCAAGCATGCCGACGTGCTATCTGTGAGCCCCTGCTTAGCTCAACCAGAATCTTTTCTCTTGGCAAGAGCCCCCTCTTCTTTCCGCACGGCGAATAATGCCGAGCCCCTAAAGTAGGATTCCTCAGTGGCGTTGCGACCAGTTCAATCCAAAATTCAAAGCGCAGAGCCGCAGCTCTCGGCACGCCAATGCAACCTCGGCACGCCAATGCCAATTCGATCAACACTTCAAGCAAGTCTGTCTGGTTTCTGATTCAAGTCGGTTTGTCAGAATGCTCATGGTATATTATTGGGGCCGCGCGCGGTCTGCGGTAGAACGCGATCCGGATTGAGGAACTTCAAAGGGCGGGGGTTTCGGAGGTTTGGGAAACCCAGCAGAGCGAGTCAGGGTCATGATGTCATTTAACGTGGCGCAAAGTGACGTACCCCCTCAGCTTTCTGGCCGTTGGTCGCGATTGAGCCAGGAATCGACGGTTGGATATCACCTAGCCGTTAGCTGGGATAGGTAGGTACGACTTGCAATGACCGTCTTCTTCTTGGCACGATGATGTCAAAGGTCAATGCAGAAAGAGGCAACCTGCGCGAATTGGGGGTTGGTGAGCAGCGATCGCAGCCATAGCTGGAAATGCAGCAGGAGGATGATGTTAGGAATGGCGTACTGAAGGCAGCGCGTTGACTCGGCTTGAGTCTGCTCTGGGAGCTTCAGAACGTCTTTCCAACTCTCAATGAATATGTCAAAGCGTGCAAAGCACTGTCCCTTGCATTCTGCAGGATAGGAAGCCCAAATAACGAGTTTCGGTCGTATCGAAGGGTTGTCCGGTGCAGAACTGGTAGCTTGATCTAGGGGACTCGTAGGATCCGCCAAGCTGTCAGCATTCTGCAAGCTGGGTTGCTTAACACCGCCACTGAACTGATTGCGAGTCTGCTCGTGAGAGAGGATGGAGCTTGATGTGGAGGAGGGAGAGGCGGAACGCTTTGAGTTGGACCCGGTCTATGAGAACATTGCAGCCCCCAAGTACTGGGACTTTGGGCGGCTCTCGGATGATGGAACAGTGGACAAGTGGTTTGAGGATCCAAACACTGCCATCGTTGGTGAGTATCGTTGCAACAGGTTGATAAAAGAATACTAACGTCCCCCACAATGTGAAAGCTCCTGAAACTGTCCTTCGGAGGGTCGCCATGCTGCGGGAGATGCCTGCTATGTTTTGATGCTTGTATCCCACCAGAGAATCTCCCTACCTGGGCGGTTCAGGTTGCACCACACATGGGCCCCTGCGAGATCCTTGTCTAGGGTGCTTGCTGATGCCCCATTAAGATGTCAAGTGGAGATCAAAGCTCAATCCAATGCGAGACAAATGATGGCGCCCCTTTCATAATATGGTTTCCATTCCGCAGAGTCTCCTGCTGCCTATCATGAGCCCAAGAAGCTGCTCAAAGTCAACAGCGCCCACAAGGTAAGGACAAATCCTGCACTGCTGCAGCCTTCTGAGCAAGCTGCACTCAAGTGTCCTTCATTCCACCTGATCGCCCTCCGCTTAGCAGTTCGTCTGGTAGCCCTTCTCTGAGTCCACAAGCAGTGGCCTTCTGAAATACGTGAGGGAGTCCTCGACCGGATAAAGGGTTTTCACTCTGCACTTACATTGTTGTTCCTCTGGGGTATCTGCAGAAGTCGCGCTCAGTGTCGGGTTCCCCGTTGCGGCTGCGCCAGAAACAGGGGCATCCCCCAACCTCCCCAGGTCGTGCCCAGCGCAGACAAGGTGACGCGCAATACCCTGTCACAACCTCCAGAACAGTAGTGACCGGTCTTCTTGTCAAAGAACTTGGGCGCTGAGCTGGCACTGATACAGGCAAGCATGTCACCTGTCTCTACGCCATTCCATCAGGCCTGACTGGTAAGCAGCAAGTGAAGGAGATCCTGAATTGGTTTCTTGTGGCAATGTCTTACCCGCTCCTTGTTTCTTATGCAGTGGTCGGCCCCTCCCCCCTCCGCAAGTCCGTGCTTTCCCTCACCGCCATGGCTGCCGCAGCCGTCTCTGCTTCTCCCTTCAAGGTCCCTGCTGTTGCGCCCCCAGCAAACGACGAGAATCAAGACGAGCCCAATGTTGGCAGTCCCCCATCTCAGCCTGCAGACCGTCCCAGCCCTGTAGAGGATGACCCCGTTCTGCCAACACAACCAGAAGTGGCTAGCGTGCCCTCAGAAGCACTCTCGACCGTCGACCCCATCGAGCGTGCTGAGGCAAAGGCAGAAAGCACGTTGACTAGGAAAATTGAGAAGCCCGTCACAACGAGACCCCCGCTCCCTGCTTCCGCCGCCGATGCATTTGCACAGGCAATGAGCGCCACTCTGGCTGCGGCCTCCCAGCCGCTCTTCATGCGCCGCAACAAGAAGCCGCTGGAGCCCCTCCAGACAACGACAGGTGGCGCCAGGAGAGTGCCCGGGCGGGACCTCCCTGGCCCCGCCAGGCCTGCTGACGTCAGCAAGGCCGTACTACGGCAAGACATGTCCGTGCCCCTTGAGAGCAGCGCCGCGATGCAAGAGAATGTGGGAGTGGGGGGGCAGATTGGAGGGCAGCGGAAGCCCCCCGCCGGGCCAAAGCCGGGGCACGTGCGGCTAAGGAGCAGTCGAGGGAGGAGCTTAGATGACCGTAGCTGGAAGGGGGCAGCGGAAGTAGCAGCAAAAGGTGGGGAGGATGGACGGCGCAGCGAGAATGGGGAGGCGGCCATGCTTCAGCGAAGGATTGGCGCTGAGAACAAGGCTGATGCAAGAAGTGTTGTTGCAAAAGACCCGCCTATCCCCAAGAAGAGCTCGTTAGGAAGGGCGCGGAGCAGTGGGGGCAGCGTGCGAAGCAGCCTCGGCGAAATGGATGAAAATGCAAAAGGGGGGGTGGGGAAGCTGAGTGCGCAGCTCAGGTTGGCCCCCACTGCGGTGGGGCGGCTGAAGGGCCGGAAGTCGGAAACGGCAGGGCTGGTGCGCGCGAGCAGCCCTCGTGTGGAGAAAGTGCGCGCGGCGTGGAAGTTGAGGCGGAGCATCAACGTGGAGCTGGGTGCAAAACAGGAGAACTCGAGAGTGGGGGGGGGCAAGAAGGTGGCGGATCTCCTCGAGGAGCGGATGAATAACCTCTCAATCGCAGAGGATAGAAGCGTCAAAGGGGATGTGGCGGGGGGTGTTGAGAACGCAGGGGTCAAGCGGGCGTTGAGCCCTCGGCGAGAAAGTACTGATGATCAGCCCCCGCCAAGCAGTATGGAGAAGGCGGGCCAGCTGCTGCGGCGGATGGGCGCCGCGGTGGGGGCCTTGCTGGGGTCAGTTTCCCCCCTAGAAAAGCAAAAACCAACCGGAGGGGAGGGAAAAGCGGGGGGCGAAGAGGGGAAAGTTGCTTGCGTGTTGCAGTTTGAGGAGAGCGCACATGGGGGCCGGAGAGGGAGCTTCTTGGCCGCCCCAGATCAGCCGAAACCGTGCACAGGTGTCGAACCAGAGGAACCGGAAGAGTCCCCCCGAGAGGAAGGGGAGAAGATGGAAGGAGGGAGGGGTAAGAGGCGGTCGCTGCTACAGAGGCTGGGGGGGGCGAGCAGGAAGGCGCGCGAGAGGAGTCACACCCCCCGGGGGCGAGCCAAGAAGGAGGGGGCCAGGAAGAGGGGCACACCGGGAGGCAAGGCAGGAACCATCTCGCAGTGAGTCCCCACGACTTGGTCTTAACCCTGTTGCAGGAGATAAACTATCTGCAAAGAAAGGTCTCTTGATAAGGCTCTTGGACAACATATCGAACTTTTGCCTGCAGTATATACGTTTGGAGTGACCGAGATCCCCATCTGACAGCGGAGGAAGCGTTAAAGAAAAGACCAACACTGGCTCTCTTTTGGTTTGAGATGGCCACCAACAGCTCTTACGCACCCGTTGATGCAAAGTCGTTTCTGCTGTGCAGTGCTCGTCCGCTGGCGGTGCGGCTGACCTTGAAGGAGAAGGAGCGGCGGTTGGCCGTGGTGCGCAGGATGGCCAAGCTGGAGCAGGACAGCAGGAAGCATGCGGTCACCATGGTCAGTCACCGAGCGTTCTGGATGCATCCTGGACGCCTCCTGCCTTTCGTCACTCGTCAAGCCAACCTGATGGCCAGAGGCTCGGTCCTGGTGGCCAGGCTAAAATTTATACTCGCAGACGATATCTATGATTATTCAGTGGCGAAATTTATGCATTATCTGATGATATTATGAAGATCCACATTTTAGTTCGCCAACGTGCTCTCTTCTTACTCCTGTTATTCAAAGGAGTCCCGGCCCTCCTCCCTCAGATCTGTCACTGCCTTGCTTGTACAAACCTTTGCTATGCAAGCTGAGAGACCTGCGTTGACTGCCCACAGTGTTAATAATTGTCTGGCTTACTCTAGAAAGTAATGAAGGTAGGAGTTGACAATGCCCGGCAGGGGCTCTACTTCGTGCCGAGCAGAGAGCGTTCCAGCCGGCTTCCACTCTGTGCTTAGCTTAATCGTCTTCTGTGATCGCAGGGCTGGCTGCGTTCCTCCGCTATCCCTCTGGCTGCCCCCCGGCCAGCAGCCCCGCCCGCTCCTCCCAAGGTCACGCATCCCCACCCCTTCCCTCTCCGAACGGAGGTGAGAATCACGGGCGGTCTGGTCTTCTTTCTGCCGGGCCAGTGGAAATGATTCAGCGTCTGATTGAACCTGTTTCACTCGGTTGCTGCTGGCCTGTCATAGCGGGAACCTTGTGTTGCAGCTCCGCTCTTTGAAATGCACGATCCAGGTTTGGATACGTGGGCATAAAACAATGAGTCCTCATTGTCAGAATGCGCATCCCAAAGCCTCGATGGAATGTGTGTGCCCGTAAGTAGCCCTCTGGTGCTTCGTCTCGCCGGTCTCTTCGTGATACATTGTCAACAACACCCACGTCAACCGGGCTGTCTTCGCCACCCATTCGTTAACGCGATGCCATCAATGCGGACCTTGTTTAGACTCCAAAAGGCCGAGTCGCGATCAACAATGGGTTTTTCAATGGTCGAAACCACTCTCCAATGAGGCTGAACTTCCGCTCTCCGTCCCTTCCAACGGCCTGCTTTCCCTTGCTAAGAATTACTCAACTCAAGTGGGCGTTTCCAACCTTCTAGACGCTGGACCTTTCAAAGAGGATCTAGGCGCAGCGGAGCTGATGCGGGATCGCCTTTCTTGCTTGTTTTGGCGAGGAAGCGAGATTTTTTGACCGGTCGGAATGGTGGTTGCGGAGGGGGGGAGAGACGTCGCTATTTTGAACTTGAGACAGCATTATCTGCATTTGCGGCTTGTGGCTCTGCATGTTAAAAGCGGTGGCAGAAGCGACCAGCGACAAAGTTCCAGAGCCGCATCGGTCACTGTTCTCCTAGCAGATACTTATATGAATTGACTGACCACACTCGGTCGCCCGTGCAGGAGCGGGGCGCAGCGAAGCTCGCGCAGTGGCAGGCTGCGGTGCAGCACCAGCGGCGCGAGGAGGAGGCCGCGCGCATCCCGCACGCGCACCCGCTGCCGCCCTCGCTCGACGTGCCGCAGGTCAGCCACCCCATGTCTGACGGCAGCAGGCGCCCCATGCCTTCGAATGCCTGCGAGCTGCCGTGCTGACCTTTTGCATAAGGTTTCCTGGTTAAGGAGACGGTTCCATCGAGTATTCTCGACTGGTGCTGGCGGCAGAGGTTTCCTTTGCTCACGGGATCAAAACTTCTACTTCAGAATGATAGGCAACCATTCATTTCAAACTGATAGGTGCTTCGTGGAAAAGGCGGAGCTGATTTTAGTAAATTTCCCCATCTGCAAGGCCGTCGAATTTACCGATCAGTCCGCGTGGTTCTCCTGTGCTGTTCCGGCCAAAGCTTCTTTACTTTGGGCGATTTAATGCACTTGGTCATGCAATTGGCGTCGTCGCCCGCTGCTCACAGTATGTGAAGTTTGTATAAGTTGTGGTCTTAAGACAGCCAGTCAATCTAATCCAACCACTCAGAGCCTGAGCCGTTCTATTCCTCCGTTGGCAAGATCGTCGATTCCGAAGCTTTTCTGCGTGCTTTTGTATTCAAGGCCCGCTATCATTCTGCGCAGGTCCCCCCGAAGCCGGTCGTGAAGCACTCGACGGTGCCGGCGCCCTTCGACCTGGACAGCGTGCGCCGTCACGAGGCTGTGCGCGCGCGCATCCAAGCGGAGCTGGACAGCCAGGCCGAAAAGGCGCGGCGCAGCGCGGCGGGGCACATCAAGCCGCGCCCCGCCAGCAGCCCAGGTGAGGAAACGTCGCTGTTCAAAGCCTCGCTTTCGGCCGCTCTGACATTGAGAGCCGACAGGAGCGGTGTGCCGCTGTAGTGAACCGCACTTTCGCTTTCCTCATGTGGATGGATGCAAGGATCTTATGCGGCATGTAGTTCGTCTGTCGAATAAGGAAGATAGAGGTTTCGAACGGTCGAGTCGCGACTACAGACGGGGTGAAGAGACGTCGCTAGAAGAGACGTCATCCCCTTTTGCAGCTTGTCGCTCCTCATCTTACGTGCGCGACAAACGCCACGAGAAAGAAAGTTCCCGAGCCGAACCGTTCCTTGCTCCCTCCGCAGAAAGTAAATTGACTATCCGCAATTGGCCGCTCATTGAACTTGGTGGGTCTTAGTGCCCGTGAACCCCCTCGTATATTTTTCAAGTTTTTAAGTTCGCGCACAAACAGACGGTCGTATCGTACTCCTTTCCTTTCTCCTCTTGCAACGCCGCCCACCAAGTAGATTCCGTTTCCCGCAGGTGCTGCCGGCCTTTCCGGCGCGGCCCGCTCCGCTGCTTCCGAGGCGGAGGCGTTTGCGCTGCGCACGGATCAGCGCGCAGCGGAACGGCGCGAGTTCGACCAGCTCATGGCCGACAAGATCGCGGCCGCGGCGCGCGAGCGAGACCAGGCGGAGCAACGGAAGAGGGTGAGCGCGTCAGAGAAAGTGGAGACTGGAAAGTATGTCAGAGGTTGGACAGAGCGGGCGCAACGACCGTCCCAGCACTTTTTCAGTGACTGCTGAATAATATTAGGCCAGGAGCCAGGTTAAGGGCAAACCGACTTTTTGAGTGTGCTTTGACCAGATGAGAAGCTGATGTAAGAAGCACAAACTATTCATTAGGGTCGAGCATGGTAGCGAGCTCGGGCACGGAGTATCTCCGTTGTCGGAGCGGGGCGGTGTGCCCTCAGGTAGTCACAGCCCATCGAGCCTCGTGCCGAAGTGGCCAGTGTGTCTTGCCTACAACTACTCAGTTCGACATTTCGTCCGTTCACTCATAGTGTGTGTCTGGCCCTTCAACCCGTTTCCGAACAGCTTGAAAAGCCATTTTGCATTCCCTTGATAAGTTCTTAGGTAGTCACCATTCACAGTCAGGATCAGTGCTTCGCAAGGTTCCTTATATAAGGTGTCTGACCACGTTACTCTGTTCCGGCTCTGACGTCACTTCGCGTGGCTGCTTCAGGAGCGCGAGGAGGCGGAGGTGGCGGCGCTGCGGCGCAGCCTCGTGGTCCGCGCTCAGCCGATGCCCTTCTTCGACAAACCCTTCAAGCCACGCAAGTGAGTGCGCCAGACCCGCTTTACAACGAGTGTCCGTCAATAGACCATCTTCTTCTATCCATGCACCAATCAGGGTGCTCGGTTGTCCAGTTCGCATCGAACATTGAAGAATTGTTCGCACCTCAGCTAGATTATGAAATTGTGCCATGTGTTCATTTCGATGTTGCGTTCAACTAATTAAAGTTGATCCTCCTTCTCAATCAAGTCGACACGGATTTGCAGGTCCACAAAGGGGCTGACTGTGCCCCATTCCCCCAAGTTTTCAATCATGTCGTATGAGAAAGCCAACAAGGCGCCCCCTCCGCCAACTTGGAAGGAGCTTTTTGGAGACCATGGGCGGCCGTGATCTGATCAGGCAAAGTGTCTGTCCTAATTTGCGTGGTCGAGGCCGCTTTAATTGATTGGGCAGGTAATAGCGAAGCTGATCTGAGAAAAGTGGCACATGTTGACTCTAGCTACGATGAACTGCATGTACTCTGCTGTTCCAGACGAGAATCGAGTGTCGGTGTACAACCTGACGGCAGGCAAGCCAGCTATATCCTGTTAGTGCACCGGCCACATAGCTAGTACGTGAAAACAATTTCTGCCGCCACCTTGTAACTGGACATGACATGCACATAAAATTCTTGCCTCAGTAACTGGAGCCTCGGAGATTTGAAGCCCGCTCGTGGACCATCTTTGGCGATCCCAAAACTCATGTCGCTTGAAAGCTGAGACAGTAATCTCACAGTACAGCTTCGATTTGCATGATGGTCACTCTTTTTCATGATCCGATCGACCGTCATGCATGCCCCACTGCATGATATCTTCAAGACGGTGATGATATGCCGCGGCGGCCGGCGGCATCATTAGTCACTTATACATGGCGGCGGCGTGCAAATGCGCGCGCGCGGCGCTCCATAATGTATATACTCGCATACTAGTATAAACCATCACATGGGAGATGTAGTGCGCATGATCATTTGCGGATCATCATGAGAAGCCTATATGGCCATGGCCAAATTGCAATTTGGCCACGGCGTATTTGAAAAGAGACCATCATCAATCCGATATATAGGTATACGTATATTGGAACTGACTCAGTGCCCACAATTCCGTCGGATTATATTCGATGCAACTGACTAGCTCTGTGGCGCCATGCACGCATTTCATGACATGTGCATGCAGGGACTGCAGCGCTGCAGGCAAACTTACACCGAGTGCATGTACGACTCATGATGAGAACATGCATGAAGCCGGTGGACTGCGTCACTTAAGATGACATGACGGATACCTAAGACTCTCATTAACTGACTTCTGCAACACTGAGGGTACTATAATCGAACTCAGCCCACTATGATATAATCGAACTCAGCCCACTATGAATCTGCATATGCGGTGCGCTGCGCATCACGTCACTGTATGAATCACTGATGTTTACGAAGGCAGCAGCCTGTCATCCAATCAAGTTAAGGCTTCAACGCTAAGTGAGCAATGCAGCTGCCAAAATCCAATTGTTTCTGGGTAGAAGCTGGGCAGACTTAAGTTGGTAATCTGAAAAACATTGAACCTAAGCTGAGCTGAAGTTGGTAAAATTGCATAAAGTGCTGACTCGGTCTTTGTATCTAGGCCAAAGCTGCCCTCATCGCAAAACAACACTACCGGCGAGCACGCACTTGGGGGTCTGAAGGGCACTCCAGGGCAAGATGCCTGCAAAAGCGAGGGTAAAGCTTCGATTCAATGTTCCCATCCTTGTTGAACCCAAACCCACAAATAAGCTCCAACGGGTGGAGCATTCGGTGGTGCATTCGTCAGATGGCATACCAGTCAGGCCTGGCACTGCAGTCCTATCGCAGTTTCTTATCAATGATATCCACGAATCTGTCAACAAGTATGGCTCGTTTGAAGACATCTGTGAACATTCGCAATACGCATGCCAGTGACTTATTCCACCCACACGCGTACTAGCACACTCACCCCCTGCCACCGCAATTGTTGCAGATGGTCGCCGCAGTGCAGTCCCTCGCAAGGTGGCCTGCCTTCTTGCAATTATAGCAGACCTCCGCAAAGCTGGCCGGCCCACGGAAACTGCGCACAGAGCTGGTGAAACGGGCACAGTCCCGCGAGATATGCCTGCACAAGATTAACCATGTGAGTAAGCTCAAGTGCTCATCAAAGAACGAATCGTTTCCTGATATAGGCCGAAACAACACTTGGACTGATATCTGCAGCGTGCACAGGAATATAGAGATACGCAACTTGTCAAACGCCTTTCATGCGATAGTGGGGCTCATCAAGGCGTCTTTCTTGAACGAAACCACTCGGTTGTGAACCCATCTGATAGATGCGATAAGGCTCCTAACACAGATAGCCCCCGGAAACCCGTGCACGGCGCTCACCCAATTGTGCCGCAGGTGTTGCAGACAGGGGCGTCGGTGCACTCGCGAGCGATGTGCCCTGGCTTGTGGCAGTTGGCACAAGCCTGGCTGAAGGAGCACTCCACCGCAATGTGCCTGCAGCAGATTACCAGATGACGAGAATCAGAAACCCAGCTGAAAACAAAAGCCTCATATCATCAACCAAAGCTGTACTCAGGACCATGCTCACAGTGCACAACAGGCAACCGAACCCGAAGTCTATTGTTACTTACAGGACAGAGTATAGCACCAAACCCTTTTGTGCGTCTCCAAACACAGTTCTGATCCTGAATCCGCGAAACGATCCGAAATAAATCTTCTCCAGAGAAATATTTGCCCGATGAGGGATCATAGGAAGAGCCATGGAAAAAGGTGGTGGGGAGACGGTTGTGCATACCCTGGCTGGAAGCAGTTGTTGCAGAGCATCGAGCGTGCTGGGCCACCACCTCCCAGAGGAGCGCGTCCAGGAGCGGGGATGGCGCACTCGCGCGACAAGTGGCTGAACAGGAAAGCAATGGAGTCAGGCAAGGAATCCACTGGTACCCCAGCGAGGGGGTTATTGTCGCATCACAACCAGCCTCAACCCCTGAAGGTGCGAGCACCCTTCTTCTAGAAGCTTTCTGCCTATGCAACTATTGAAATTACGTGCACTGGTCAGGCAACACGATGTTCTTGAGATAAATACATCGCAAGACATGACAAAAACAGAGGGAGGGAAAACCCCACCATAAACCTTTTCACGGTGCATCTTTACAAGGAGGGAAGGTGGAGGAAGGCAATTGATGCAGAAACGGGACCCACATGGCAGATCCCACTTGAGTGACTCAAAGCAGAAACTTTACTGAATCAAAAGACCCCGTGATTGCTTACCCTACTTTGCCGCAGGTGTTGCAGACAGGGTCAAACGTGCACTCCCTCGCAATGTGGCCCGGCTTGTGACAGTTGGCGCACGCTTGCGGGTTGCCGCACTCAGCCGCAATGTGTCTGCCAGAGCAAACAATCCAGTGAGATGCCGAACAATGATGGCAAAGGACTATCCAAGCAGCTGTGTAATAACAGAAGGCACCTAAGTCTCAGGTCCAACAACATAAGGGCAGTATCCAGAGCAACTGATTGAGCACTTACCCTGGCTTGAAGCAATTGTTGCAGAGCTGTGAGCGAGACACCATGCCACCCATGCCTGCTCCCATGCTCGGGCACTCCCTGGAGAAGTGCCTGCATCAAAGAAAAACTTGATCAGACCATCAGATTCTTATGGGCACTCGTTTCAAGTGACTGTTACTTGTTCATATCCAACTCAGACAAAGCAACAATATGAAAAAACAAGATGCGGCTTGTCAATAACAGCAATCTCCAATGATTTGCGCAGCTAAGCACAGGGTTTCGTGCTTGCTCTTACCCAGGCTGGCCGCAGGTGTTGCACACGGCTGCATTGGGGCACTCTCGGGCCTGCACAGGCAAGCAAAACGCTGGTGGTAAACATTGCTGCTCGGATGACAACAAGACTGGACCCTGAGCAGGACAGACCAGTACAAAAGACAACTGGACCACAAGCACTTGTGCAAAGCAAGTATGGCAAGTCAAATAGCACATTCACCTAACCAGAACCTGCTTCTTCCTGTGCACTCGCGCAGAGAAAATGGGCGCAGACGAGGTCGACATATAATACAATTCTGAGCGAGAGGCCCAGACTCACCTGATGACCAGACTGCTTGCAGTTGTGGCACAGAGGGTCGCTGACACAATCAGCTGCCAAGTGCCTGCAACCACGGCAGTATGTGCTTTGAGCTTGGAAAATTAACCAGCAAAGCTAAAGATTAAATTTTGGCGTCATCCTTTGACGTCGTCAAGTAACTACGAGGATAAGGATCTCAGAAACTGTGTGTACCACCTCTATGCAGAAAGACATGCATATAATTGTATTATCAAACAGACACCGGAAGCCCTCATAATGTTACCAGAACAAAGAACCCAAGATGCAAGTCAGATGAACAGAGCCCTGCGGAAAAGATGCATACAGATGATGCAAAGAGACAGGAGCCACATCCTTACCCAGGTGAACCACACTTGTTGCACACTGCCTCTGAAGTGCAATCACGAGCAAGATGGCCTGGCTTGTGACAGTTTAGGCACAACCCCGGGCTGCAGAAGACGAAGACACCTTGGTTGAGAACCATAACAGTACACTGTTACCAGAAACCCTAATCATGGCTTGCAGAATAAGGCGCAAACCTGTACTCCTAAACTTGTTGTATTGATAAAAGGTAGGCGTTCCGAAGTTGCAGAACTGCCTGCTTTGACGCAGAGTAATCGAAGACTCCTTACAAAAACCGATCAGTCCCGAAAGTGATGCTTGAAATAGTGCAAAATACAGAACAGCATGCTTCTATAGCAGCAGAATTTCTGTCAGGGAGCGAAATTGCAGCACCAGCATCATTTGCACGGCCAACACGGAATATTTGAGATGAGGAGGACTGGGGCAAGCATGGAATAAGCGCCACACGTGTCGCTGGCGGTTTCTGGTCGGCAATTGCTGCTTCAGGCTGGATGCCAGCAGCGCTCACTAAGGCGTTGCCCTTTGGAGCGCCTTACCCGGACACCTACTTCCTCGTGAGGTGTCAACTCCAGTCAAGCATGAGTGCCCCGGTTACCAGCATCACAAGTTGGTGCATCGCCAGGTCAAGCGGAAGCAGAACATGGACTCAGAAGCATGTGCAGGGTCCTCCCAAGCTGCTCGGGTGTGCCACAGGAACAACTTGCGCTAGCACGCGCTTCACCCCACCTGCTGCCAAACCTCCCTCCCACCCTGTAGGGAGCACTCCGATACCCTCCCCGGGTTGCCCTCCTCACCGCTCCCCCCCCTCCAGAACGACCCTCCGCAATCACCTCATCCAGAGACATGCTCAGTTTCTGATCCGTGCGAAACGCCGCCATTTTGGCACGGGAGCAGACCAATCAAACCCTTTCTCCAAGAGCTGCTTCACGTCTCCAGCTACCTCAGGATCACGTTTGGCCGCCCTAGCTGAGCCAGAAAGCACTTGGTCGCAAAAGTGAAGGCTCGCGAGACTAGAGCGTGGGAAGGGAAGAAGCAAACAGATTTGCCGGCGTTTGCAAGGCAGGCGTACTGGCACCGCAGGTCGCTTCGAAATTTACTACGAAGAAGGCGACCACACAATCATGTGAGGTATTAGTACAGTGGTACCTAGCGCCAGCTTGGTGGTCGCCGATGCTGGGGAATCAAGCTGAGAAATTCGCCTGCATGGATGCAGCCTCAGGATCAGCTTTGTCAGAATTGTTGCTCTTCCGCCCATGATCAATCACAAGAACAGCCCTGAGCTTGGCAGCTTCCATTTTCCCAGAACAAGCATTAAGCCCCGTGCCATTTTCGTTGCTTGTATGCAAGCTTGAGTTGAGGGAGCGTTCAACGTCCTTTCCTGGTGCACAATCAACATTCTGAAAGGCGCGCTGCTAAAAGCTCTCTCGGAATTTTTGATCAGAGAAAAAAGAACTCATGACAAGCATTATAAAGGAGACACTCTAAGCCCTCTTCACCATGAGGCTTCTAACTCACAACATGCTGGCGTGTAACATCAAGGGGGTGACCAAGGGCTATCCACTAAAAATTGAAGCCACAAAGACTGAAGAAAAGGAGACGGACTTCAATGCTGGGTTTTTGAGGCACATTTACCCAAAGCTGGACTGGAAAGCATTGCGAGAAGCAGCTGCCAGCGTAAGTCTAGCTTTTTGCCACCACTAACACCACCATTTTATCAAACTTCTTTCAGTTCTCTGGTCAGTTTTCATCTTGTGATACTGAGTGGTGTAAAAGTACAGTAGCCTGCTTACGAGATTCAGCTTGCATTTGCATCATGTTTCATTTCTGCCACCAGTCCTTTCATGAAGATTGTATAAAAACGCACAAAAAAAGTGTCGAATGGGAGAATTTGTTTGGCAAGAAGTGACGTCTTTCAGTGGTTTGTCCACGACATGGCTACCTACTCGCACAATGAGTATGTTTGCGAACAACGAAAAAGATTCTAGCGAGACTGGCAGGTCACAGCCATGTACTCTGCCCACCGGCAAACCTGATGACGACTTGGAGTTGCATTGGGTTGAAGTGTCGTTGAAAAAGACACTGAGAAGCCAGATGTGACGTGTTGTTGGCCTTACTGTAGCAAGTCATTGTTCGCGAGTGCATGGAAACATGGTTAACATGGTTAAGACAGGGACAGTCTGTGCACCTCCTGAGGTACTCGGCATCTTGTATGGGCTTTCGTCACTTCCTCCTCTGCTGTTGGCTCCTGAACGCCTTGAGATATCGTGTCGCTCATCCGCAGACTTCCGGCAGATCTGAGCGAATCCTACGACACCGTTGTTACGAGATGACACAGAATGTTAGATCGATTGCACAGCTCTCCCTACTTTCGTCTTGGTTTCACTGCACTGCATCAAACAGGCTTCTGGCTTCTGCAGTTAGGGCTCGAAGAACTGCCGGAACAGGTGGAGCCATCACAACTAGAAGACGAGGACTTTCTTCGAAGATTTCACCATGTACTGCTTGAGGTAAGCAAAGTTGTTTCATTGGTATCGCAGAAGAATAAGAAGCACCCTTTCGTGTCTGCCTACAGCAACTTGTTTTCGGTGGACAAACATCCCCGTGGCTCTGTATCCCAAGCACTTGTTCAGAGAGTTCCTCTTAGCTGCTAACCTCTGCATATGGATCCTCGGCTCACATCATACCCAGCCCAGCCCAGCAAAGTTGAGCCACCGCAGGTTCGCATGGACACTCATTCCGCATATTTTGCTTGCAGATTCATCTTGAAGAGGGGGCGCTCGTTTGCCCTGAAACGGGCAGACGATTCCCTGTGAGTAAAGGAATCCCCAATATGTTACTAAACGAAGATGAAGTTTGAATGTTACGGGTACATGTATAGTCCAAAAAGTGCATTGAAGGCAGAAGCTTCTCATAGGAGAAGGCAGAAGTGACGTCCGCTGGTATGCTTCTCACCTTTGGGAGGATTGGGCATTGCTAGGCCGGGAAATGAATTAAGAAGCTTAAGCCGGGCCGTAATTGTACGTGAGCACATCTTGTGCGAAGCCTCCTCGTTTGGCAAGTCTAGGTTGTCAATTGCTTACGTTGGTCTCTTGACGATTGGGGTGAGGCACCGCAATAGGAGTGGAATCAAGATCCTCTGGATGTCACATGCATCTTTGATCGAGTTTGCTTGACGTCCGCCCCAAGCCAACTTGAACGCAGTGAACGACCACTGCCATCATCATTCTTACTCTTGACCGATTCGTCTGGCAACAAATCGGTTCGAGCTTCCATGATAGGCCGCGCTTGAGAAGCCTAGGCCTAGACTCGATCGGAGCCCATGTGGCCGCCATATGGTCCGAAATTGTTGCCATGGTCGATCGGATTCTTATATATAGATTTTACCGACTCTGCATGCAGCCGGGTGCCATATGGGGAGCTGTCCGCGACTAGATGGGCGCGACATGTGCCGCGAGCCTGCATGCTAGTGTTCCGCCATGCGCAGCCGCCTCATTATTTTGTACGTGGTCACTGTGCGACCATGAGCTAGGCCCGGCCCGTATAGTACATGCAATTAATCAATCATATCTAGTGGATCAAACAAATAGGGAACTTGAAGTTGCACCAGGGGCCGGCCATGGTTGCATGATATCATGTGCGAGGGATCGGCCGGCACAAATACGATTCGCGAATTGCAATTCATGCCATGCAGCAGTGACCATGCAACATGATATATGTATACGACGGTATGGTGGGATCTGTCAATCTGGCACGCATGGACATGCCTGCGCCTAGGCTGTGCACATGCCGCCAAATGTGTCGCGTCAACTTGAAGTCCCACCGCAGCTGCCGCCTACATCCCCTCTCGTTTCCGTTCAGGTGGATGCACATGGTGAGCCGGAGCCTGTCCGGATGCAATGCATCCGATATGTGATTTGCGCATCATCAACCGCCCGGACAGGTGTAGCTGATCCGGCCGGCAGCTCAGAAATGTTGTAACACATGTCGACAAGACAGAAGGACTTGGAAGTCGTGGTACGCATTTGACCACAATTTCTTTCATATCTGCTTTACCAATTTAGTCACAGAATCTTCGAAATCAGAGAGTGCTATTCAGGCAGCATACGCCGCAATGGAACCGTGTCAATACAAGAGACGTTTAACCTGCTGAGCGAATTGGTTGCTAACATACAGACACAACCCGATCAAACACAACTCAGCCACCGAACCTGCTTAATCACTGCCCTGTGATCCGCTTGAGTTTGTAACCAAAATTGGCCGCTTGCCACAATTTGTACATCCCCTTTCGGCGGCCCCACTTCCACCAGATCGGCCCTTGAATGCGTCGATGCAACTTACGTGCGCTTGCTGGGGAAGCGCGACCTGGAAGATGGAGGAGCCCATAAGAAGGTGAATCCTTGCCAAACAAGTACCAAAAATGCATTTGCGAAGGCCTTCGCAAGCATGTCCGTTCTCTGCAAAGACTACTGTGATTAGTCCAGAAACTTGGATTAAGCGACTCGTGAATTTCTCCTTCAAGACACATCACGAAGACAAACGGTAAAGGCACTCGGACTCAATTTAAAAGCAGCCGCGAAAGAACAGGCAGCCAACAATCTGCTTACCTGGTAGACATTCGCTGAAGACAGCCTAGATAGCCAGGACAGGAGAACCCATCGACTGTGCCCTTACGTATAAATGGGTCAGACGCCCTGCTGACAGGCGGTTCCCAAGCCTGTCTGTGTTGACTACATAGGTTTCGTTTGCCAAAGCTGCCTAATATACGACCCAGGACTCCATTCGGAACATTCAAAGGTTGCGTATCTATGTATGTAAACCCGCTCTTAAACCCGCTCTTGCAGTCTTAGGCTTCCGGCTGCTCTGCGGGGACTGTTGACGGCTGGGCTGAAAGAACAATTGACGGCTGCGCTGAAACGACAGCTGGCGGCTGCGCAAGGGCAGGGCCGGGGAGTGCTATGTCTGAAGGCGGGGAGGCTTGCGAGAGACGCGTAACCGAGGCTGATCTTTTCATCGTTTCCGCGGGCTGAGAAGTTGAAGAGGGCTGCACCGAAGGGGACCGTGCAACTTCGGGCCGCTTTTGCTGAGGGTTCAACGGGCGGGGGATGAGAGGCGCCACAGTAGGGGGCCCCGTAGGGGCGCTCGCTTTCAAGTGGACCGTAGATGTTACATATGGTACACAATGGTGCTGCGGCGACGCGGTGGGGGGGTGGAAAATGGACTGCGGGTGGTTCTGGTAAGCGGGGGAGGGGTGGTGCGCGGGGGCCGCCCCGTGCTGCGACGGGTGCTGGGGTGACGTCAGCATGGCGGCCCTGCTGGGGGACGGGTGGTGATATGTGGAAGGATGGGCGGGGGAGGGATGGTGGTAACTCGAGGGATGCGCGGGGGACGGGTAGTAGAACGGTTGGTGTATAGGGGATGCCACGTAGCTGGGGGGCGGCATCCCCGTGACTTGCGGCGGGCGATGAGCTGGCGGCAGGGGGTTTGGTTGCGGGCGGGGGGGTCCCGGTTGGGTGAAAGTGGGGACGCTGACGGGCTCGGAAGGGAGGGGCTCCAAGCTTGGGTGACGTGGAGAAGGGATGCGCGTGAAGCTGTGAGGGGATGCTGCTCCGGGGGGGTAGCTAGGAGAGGGGAGGCTAGACGGGGCAGACGGGGGTAGCCAATATTTGTGCGGCCCCAGGGCCTCCTCCCCAGCGTCACCTGGGGAGGGAAAGCAGAGAGGGGGGTGAGTGGCCGGGCTTGGGGCTGGGGCGTGTGCGAGCTAGCAGTGCGGTGCCGAAAGAAAAGACTGCCAGTATCACAGGCCACGTGAAGCTTCTGACGTACTTTCGTTAGGGGATTGTAAAAGGCCGCGTTCATACAAGCGGTTTTTATATAGAAGCTGGGGAGATACTTCGTACCGAAGCCGAGGGGAGTATACTCCGGCATAGCAGTGGGGCAAAGTACTCCGGCTTGGCTTTTAGGAACTGGCTCCTTAGCTTCTTTCGGGCTTTGCAACAAAAGCTAGTCCTTTCTGGGCCCCTTCGTACTGCTCTCTTCCCGCTGTCTTCCCGTTCATAACCGCAACTCGTCACCCCAAACCCGTCAACAAAACCCACCAGCCAAAATCCGTCAAACAAATCTCAGCACACGAGCTCGGGGGCGGCACTCACCGGCATGGTCCCCGTTGCTGGTGAGCCGCGGGAGCGCCTTGGCGTCTTGCAGCGAGTCGAGCTCGTCCTCCTCCTCCCCGGACATGATGGGGTGCACCTGGATCTCCTGGTGGCCCAGCACCGTCCAGTAGCGCGCCTGCACTGCGCTCACCTCCGCAATCACGGCCAGCCCCGCCTCGCTAGGCTGGAGCCCGGCCGGCAGCGCGGGGGGGGCCTCGCCCAACAGAACCTGCGGGGAGGAGGGGGCGGGTGAAAACTCCATATCGAACCAGACAGAACAAGAAGCAGGACAGCTGTCAAGAGGGGCACTGATATCGAACAAGACAGAAGGCACTGCAGACTCGACATTCACGTAGCAGAAAGATGTTTGAGAGACTTCGGAGTCTCATCCCGGACTCAGATCCAGATCCGAGTCACAACAACAACAATAGCAGAAATGCAGGCAACGACCTGGCTGAAGTAAGCTTAGAAGAGAGTAGGGGCTGCTTGCACGACAATCCCTTGCGACTCGGTCTCAGCCCGGCTGAAAGCGATTGCTAGAACATCCAGAAGTCAAGCTCACCTGAGTGCATGCCGCTAAAGATGACGAGATGGAGCGGAGGTTGTAGCCCCCCTCGAGCACGATGAGCATCCGGCCTTGGGCCAGGGGCTTCAAGAGGGAAGTCATATGCGCATAGCCAGCTGGCGACACCTGCGGGAAGGGGAGAGATCAATCAGCACTTTGTCCTTCAAAGGACACTTCAGGTCGAGAGTCACATCTGTGCCAGTTGTGAACGAATGAGACGAGCCATACCGACCACCATGAAACCCGACCACCATAATTTGAAGAAACAATTGGAAGGGAGAAAGCAGGTGCTCAAGACAAAGGCCTGACTCCCGTGACCAGTTGAAAGCGCTTCAGGAAAAGATGACATAGGTTGACAGGGCTTGGACGGAAGGGACTCACTTGACATCCCCCCAGGGGATCGCCCGCAGCCGCGTCAAAGCCTGCTGAGATGATGGTCATGTCCGGGGCAAACTGGTAAGCTGCAATCGAAGATGGATGCTAGTGATTAGCGGAAGTACGATCCCAGATGGGAGACCGACCTGAGGGTGCGTTCAGAACAACTTTTTACTGCCCACTTCCAGCAGACCTTAACTCTTGAAAGATCGAATCAAGATACAACCGACAGGGCTAAGTACATACACGAACGGCCTTTCACGCAACGAGAAGCCAAACATGTTCAGCCCAGCACAGCAAACACTTCTTGACGTGTTCTTAATAAAAAGCTCTCAAAGGGCTCACCAAGGGGTAGAATGATGCGCGTGAAGGCCGCAATGTAATCTGAATCCCCGATATTTCCACACGGCCATGGTATGTTAACCGAGTAGCCCGCCCCTTGGCCCGACCCTACTTCGTAGACACCCCCAGTGCCCGGGTAGAAGTGGCCCGCCTCGTGACGGTGCAAAGAAACGTACAGCACCTGCATAGAAGATGAATCTTTGATTTGGAGCGGTCTTCAGCGCAATGAAAACGATCCGAAGCTGTTCATAGATAGGTACAGACCTCTTGTTGTGCCGATCACAGCAAGCGCACTCCGGCTGCAAACCTTGAGGGCAGCAAATGAATCCAGCAACAACGGAAACGGGATCGAACTCAGCAACTTGGATAAGGGGCAAGCTCCTCACCGAAGGATCGCCTTCAAAGATCTCCTGGGTGCCGTTTCCGTGATGGACGTCCTGCAAAGACGGAAAGGTTGTTTTGAGAAAAGCTCTTTAGGAAAGGGCACATGTCGCTCAACACAAAGTATGATCATTTCCTGAACATCTGGCTGACACAAAGCCTTCAATCTACGGCGGGGATCTCAGTGCAGATGGGATGTTCGAAGTGGTCACGACCAACCAGGACACTTCAGCCAATCCAAGTGAGAGTTCTCACCCAGTCCACAATGAGGATCTTCTTCGCTCCGGCTGCCTGCGCGGCCTTGGCAGCGACCGCCGCGTTATTGTGCAGGCAGAAGCCCATGATGGCCTCCGACTCTGCGTGATGACCAGGGGGGCGGACGACCGCTACTCCGTTCTTGAGCTTCCCGGAGGCAATAGCAGCTGCCATGTCGAGCGAGATCCCTGCTGCGAGCCGGGCGGCCTGGCAGGTGTTGGCATTGGCGTACGTGTCTGAGGTGAAGTACCTGCAGAAGTGAAGGACAGCTGTCAAGGCTTGGGGCATAAGTGTACGAGGTGGAGTACCTACGGGAATATAGGACAGCTGTCAAGGCTTGAGGAATATCAGCAGACATTGGCTCCAGAATTGATTGCTGCCAGCAGAGCTTAGCAAACTTCTGAGGCTTGCCCTTCAGAAGGACAAGCTACATCCTGGTCAGTTGTGCGGGGCAAAATGACTGGTTGCAAATCACTGTTGTAGGGCAGGTTACCACCTCTGTATGTATCTTCAATGATGATTGAGACACCTGCTCTATCTTACACTACCTTGAACAGCTGCCCCAGCTTCCCACGAGCATGGGAGCGTCTCGGGCTTATGAGCAAATGTCTTACTTGAGGTCACAGCCGGCAGTCAACTCCACTTCATCAACATGATGACTTGTGTGAACCTGCATGACAATGTGGGGGCAACTTTGAGAAGCGTCAAACAACAGGACAATCCTGCTTACTCTGCAATCAATGTCAAGTTTAAAAGACCAGGCCCCAATCATCAGTACGTAATGCTCACGCAGGAAGCTACTTGGCAGTGTGGAAACCTATTGCCGGCAAAATAGTTGGGGGCGAAAAGAGGGGTAGAAACTGACCGACTCAATGGCCGATTGTTCAGCTTCTCTTGTGGGGAAGGGGACGCAGCGGTTGGGGAACAGGCCTGCACACCATTGGAACGAAGATGCAAAGTCAGGATGTGTAGATTAGAACGGGGACAGCTGTCATAAAAAGACGTTTGAATTTATAAACTATAAATCAGAAAGCCTAAAATGAGACCAGCATGTCCACACTAATCCAGACAAACATCCATCCCAGAAGAGAAGGCAACTTCCAGGGGGGACTTTTCAAGGGGGCTTTTCAAGGGGGCTTTTTAAGGGGGGCTTTTCATGGGGGCTTTTAGGAGGCTTTTCAAAGGCTTTCTGGACTGCTTAACTCACCAGCATGAACAAGCCCTGCGACAATTGCCCTCAGCCGATCGGGCCTCTCCGGGTGGGGGCTTGGCTTCCCCTGGAAAGCAAGATGCCAGAGTTAGACGTCTAAAGAAGTGCCTGGTTTTTGGATGAGTCGATGGGCAAGGAAGGTGGCAGTCCAGGCCCCCAATTGCAAAACATGAAGTTGGGGGAAAAGAAAATTACACAAAAGTTGAGCGTTGTCTTATAAAGAAGACCCTGTCAAGAGGATAGAAGAGCCCCAGGCAACGGACACAACAATTGTTAAGCCCCAGGGGGGCTAGGGGGGGCTCACCTCAAAATGCAGGAGCATCTTGTCGTCAGTTCCAATGGCAGTAGCCGCTCGTAGCTCCTCCTCAGACAGCTGCACGGGTTCTGCCGCATACAGGGGGCCATCTTCAGCCACCCCAGCGTCCCCGGGGATGTCAGGGCTGGCCATGAAGCCCCGCTGAAGGATGCCCGACCGACGGTGCTCTCCACAGAACTGCAGACAGCGATCGTGGTTGGTGAAGATCCCCAAAGCAGGAAGTTCTTGATGCAGATGATCCCTTGCACAGCAATGATCAAAGACAGCTGCAAGGCTCGAAATGTAGATCGTATATCTGACAATGCTGAGCTGTCCCCTTGCAGCTCAGGGAGTGTCTGGGGTTCCTTGGGAGGGGTGAAGGGGCAAATGCATGGAGAAAAGTGTGTTACAGTCAATTTCGTGTAGAATAGATTATCAGCTCAGCAGCGATAGGATTGACAGCAGAACTCAACAGTTGTCACTGCACCACAGACCCTAATACAGCTGGAAAGAAAAGGCAGACAACCCATTGGAAGAAGGACCACAAGGAACCCTAGCCTTGCACCTTTTCAGCTGTCACACGCAGCATTGCCCCAGATCATTTTCTGTCTTGACACATTGCAGTGTCACAGCAGTTATTGGAACTTTGAGCTGGTATGCAAGCATTGAAAGCAAGCAGAACTCCATCTGAGGTGCCATGAAGGCTCTTGCAAGGCAGTGTCCTCAGGCGAGTCTTCCTGTCCTCGAAAACTCGCTTCCGCAGGTAACATGCCTCCAAAGAGATGCTGAGTCTTAACCACACGCTTACCGAGCAGAAGGTGTACTCATCCCCGGTGGAGCAAGTGCAGTTGACGCAGACCCAGGAGGGCTTGCCCCAGGGGGTCCACTCCTCGTCATCCTCGTCGCTGTCATCATCCTCATCATCATCCAGGCCATCGTCCTCCCCAAACTCCCTCATGATGTCATCCAGGCCCCTCTTCCGAGGGGGCATGTCCAGCAGATCATTACCGGGCCCCTCTTCATCCTCGTCCCCTGAGGACTCCTCGCGGGGCCTCTTGAGGGCCTTCCTGACATTATGAGCTGACAGCTCGTCCTCCTCCTCATCCAGGCCCTCATCCTCTGAGTCCTCTTCCTCTGAGTTTGCAGCAGTCAGATCATGGTCATCGTCAGAGGGGTCATCCCCGCTGCTCGGCATCCCCGGGAAGAGCAGATCCGCTTGCCCTGCAGCTGAATCATCCTCCATAGTGTCTTAGCTGACCTTTACCACAAGTGATCCAAGTAAAAGAGGCCTCGGATGATTTTTAAAACTAAACCCTACTTTTCGGGTGCGCGAAAATTGGTGAGCAAAATCGCCTGGGTCTGTACAGGCCTCCAAACGGCGTGTAAGATTTTTCAGAGCTGCAGAGGCACCAGAAGAACACCCTGCCAAGTTCCTCTGTGGAGCAACTCAGCGAAGGATCAGGGAGAAATTTTTTCAAAATTTCTGCCAGCTATCCTGAGTGGTAACGGACAAGCTGTGAACAAAAGCACACAGGAGGAAACAACCACAACCTATTGTTGAGGTTGTAAAGGTTGCTGATACAAGGCACAAGTCCTTTGCCAGCAGTGGCAGGGGCTTCCAAGACAGAAAGGGACTCTTTGGGCAGGAAAGACAGCTCGTCAGGAGCCCTTCCTTCCGAAAATGGTGTTCGGCAAGGAAGAAAACCCTATCTGCCCGTCTCCTTCCTTGTTCGTTGAGGAATTACCGCCTGAATTTGTATTAGCCGGGATGCGATCCCCTGGTCCGAATCGATAGAAGCATGCGGGTTTAGAATCTCGTCCGGGTTAGCTTCAAAGCGGCACCTTGAACTTGTGGGAGCCCCTTAACGAAAGTGGTCAAGGAGCATCGTTTGCTTCGAAATTTCGACGCGCTTTACAGGTTTGACAAAACCGCGGCAACCTATAAGCATTCCGAGGAGACGAAACTAGGCCGGGAGGAGGATGAATCTGTTCAGTACGGTAGTTTAGAGCAAAGCTTCACCCTTTCTGAGGCCGTCCGATCAGAAGAGGACTTGCATCGACGGCTCAAAAAGCCTCTACTGTATTTTCGCCCCTATCATAGGTATCCGTAGATTTGAAGACCATTCGAACTCCTGAGTCCTTCAACCTTGCAACTTACAACTTCAAGCAGGAACTTCCTCCCTGAGGAAGGAGGTTCGAACTTCGGTTATAGGTCCTAGCCTGGACTTCGTCGATGCCAAATTGCCAATGCCACTGCATTGGCGCTATGGCGCTATTTGAAGCTATGCAACACTGAGCTTTCACTGTCAGATTAGTACAGTTCAGCTTCCCTGCGGAACCATCAAGTGGTATTCATGTCCGATTGGTTAGCTAATGAGCTGTTTGGCTGCAAGAGCAGTTTGAAGGTGAGTGAGATTTGTCATTCTCATCTTATGCTGTTGCAAATGCACCATGATATGCTTGAGGTTGGAACAAGTTGTCAGCCCGTCCTACATCTGCTCACTTGCCACCAAGTCATGTCAAGCTCATGTTCAGGGAGTTGGTGTAACCAAACCTGGATGCCTTCTCTTGTTCATAGATTTTCGCTCATAATCATGTGAACGATGACACTAGATCAGGTCAGCTCCTGCATTGTACCATTTGAAGCGCAGGTTTTCATCAATGTTTAGCCTAAGCGTCTGCTCCTTCGTACTCTTGGATGAAAGAAAGGGCTGCAGGGGGTTTTCCCCTGCTGGTACCAAAAGAAATTCACTTCTTTTGGTAACGGTGACACTTCTTCTTTCTTCGGAGTCTGCTTTCCAAGCACTCTTCGCTATCTTCCCCTCCTGCTTTCACTGCCGCTTGGGCCTTTATCAAAGATGAGCAGTGGATTAGGAAGCTGGTTCGTAACTCCAACACTTGTGCTTGGAACTGAGAGATTTCTATTTATTGCAGGATGGGCCAGGGAGTGTTGCCTGTTCTTCCTGGCAGCCCCGGGAGCTCTGGTGCGGATGCCATTTGGGTCTTGCATTTGCAGGTGAGCGATGGTCCTCTCAACACTTCAGGATGTGGCAAAAATGGTGTTTGAGATGGATGTTCAGCAAGTAAAAGTTGACATGGCATTGCATTTCTGCCATGTTAAGGTATTTCGTCTTGAGTCCGCGTCTCCTGGCTCTCCTGGCGGTTGCTGCAGCCTCGGCTTGATGACCTGAAGTGCTGAAACTCCTGTTCTGGAAACACAACTAATCTGTTGGATGCCTCGACCCTCAACTTGTTCGTAGGGACACTACTGATGAGGGTCGGCTGCTCTGGATTGTCTGCTTGTAGACTTCTCTGAACAACTCCTTTGTTGGAACTTTTGCCAAATCCATGCGCTCACTATGATGAGATTTTAGAATCTGTCAATCCTCTGAACACCACTGTGGATACTCAATTGCTTCGAAGAAGCCCTGAGTGAGCGTTGTTTTTGGCAGTAAACCTTTCATCTGGAGTCGTAGAGCATGTTAGTCATTGGTGCTCAAAGTGCCGATCTTTTGCAAGTGATACACCTCTAAAAGTCACAGAGTATTGGGTTCAGGCAGATGAAGTGTACGTCCTTTCATGACCTGTTGTTTCAACTTTCAGTCACAATGTTCTCATGTGACATGCATTGCGTTTGAGCAGACTTGTAACGGATTGCATTTTCCAGTATTGCGATCTGGCCCGGTGATGGTATTAACAAATAAACTCCTGACCGCTCCTTGAGCACATGGAAACAACGAGACGCTGAGGGCTATCAAGAGCTAATACTGTGTGCATGTTTGTGATATTTTTGTTTTTGTGAGATACGGTCAGGACTTGTGTCAGGTGGTTCTTCAATAGCACCAGCCAGTCTTTACAGAAAGCTTTTTTGGTACTGTAAATGTGCAGTGGGCCATGATGAACTCTGCTTTAGCAGTTTATATGAGTGCAGCTGTGATGCATACAACCAATGGATCCTTCTGAGCCCATCTTCACTCTCACGTGTTTCTCTCGCATGGTTCGTGGATGCAAGGTTGGAGGCAGTTTTGTTTGGGCTTGGGAACCTGATATCTCTAACTCCATTCTCATCTGTGAGCTTCTATCGGATGATGCATTCTCTATGATCCCTACTCAGAGTCGGTTTGTTGATGAAGCTTTTTTAAAAGCCCTGAGTGTGCTTTTTTTTCTTGTCTGTTCACTTGGCAGCAATCGCTCTTCTTCCTTCCACTTTTCGTCAGATTGCATGGCTCACATCGATCATTGCTTGGGGTATCGGTACTCGTGGCTGAATCGAATAAATCAATCCACTCATCGATTCATGGTTCACTTATGATTCATGGTTTACTTATTTTAGCCAAAGTTGTTCTGACTCGCAATCTGCCTTTCTTCATACTTGCAGACCGGACCTGACAAGTCATCCACAACCTAGTGTTTGACAACATTTCAACATTTCGCCTTGCCAACTGCAGCACATCCGACGGGGTGTCCCAGCTGGGAACCTGGCGCCGCTTTAAGGGAGTGTTGTGACGGTTTGTTGTGTTGCTTTTGCAGAGTGGTTGTTCATTAATGGACTGCCGGGTACTCTACGGGGTTGGATGAGCCTGTTTGTTTCTGTGGGTTTTCCGGGACACCCCCAGCTTGTTCCCTGACCAAGGACGTTTTATCTCAATTGTTTACTCTGGATAGGGTGAGTTTGATTGATCTTGAGTAGGCCCGTTATTTTAGTCGCTTTCTGAAAGGTCTTGTATTCTTTTTGCTGCATTTTGCTTCTTGATTATTCTATATGTTCGTTCCAAGTAAAGGGGCTGTAGCTTAATTGGTAAAGCGCCAAGCAACTGCGATCGTGACGGCTACATCTTTCGGCCTGCCAGACTGCCCAAGAGGCTCCGCTTGTGGTGATGGTCGACCTTTCCGTATGTTGAACAATGCAGATTGCGACATGAATTCTGGCAGCTTCCGCTCAAATGGCTCACCTGATGGGGAGAACACGCTAGCAATGACATGCTACCGTGCCTTTGATCCCGATGGTCACAACCGAGTCGCCGAAGGGTGTGTACAACCCAGGCAAAACGACTGGAAATAGCTAAACTTGCTACCTGCCAGCAATCTGCAAATCTGCATGCTTCTACGGTTTGGCCCGACCCTATCCCACCGTTGCATATGATCCCTGCAGTCCATCTCCATGTCTGCAGGTGCTGACTCAGCACGTTGTCAGTGGCCAATGCGCATGCAAATCTGTGCGGCGCATGACAAGAGCGATCCCGCAAAGGCATTGGCTTACCGACTTGACTGCCGAAGATTGCCATGGACTCAATTTGGTGGTGTCGCTGACGAGCTTCATGCCAACATTGATGGCTAGGGCTGGATGACCCCTGCGCTCCGGCCGGGGTCTTCCTTTCGCTCTGATTAAGGAAGCAGATGCTCATGCTAGCTGAGCTTTGTTCCAATTATCCTGCCTGCAGTGGCGGTTCAGCAACCAGACACGATGCGCAGTTGCTGAGAGATGCGGGTTCGAACCCCGCCAGCTCCAAAATGTTCACAGAGCGTCTGGACAGTAGGGAGGTTTGTTGGTCGCTTGCTGTGTGTGGTTCTAAGTTGTTTGGTCTTAAGCTTTTTCTGGTGGTCGTATGTGTACCCAGTCTGCGTCCCTTTGATATGTTGTGTTTTTTGTGTCCTTGATTTTCGTGTAGTAGTGTTCCTCGTTCTTGAGTCCTTTTTGGTATTTCGAGTTTGTTGGTGTCTGTTGAGGTTTCTGATTGCTCATTCCATGCGTCGCAAGCCTTTCAGCTGTCCAGACTGAATCGTCACCTTGTTGAGAACAACGTCAAGGGGTGCACAAAACGATGGCAACCAGAGCTGAAGCAAGACTGCTTCAAAATGCACCAAAAATGTCGCTCGAAGGCAGGAATACAGATCTTGCCAGATGTACCAACAAACAGAAATTGGCAAGGTCAGCAGCAGATGCAGACCAGTGCTCTTTCAGCAAGTAACAGAAAGGAAACTTTCAGGCGAATCTCAAAGTCGCCATTGGTATCAACGGCAAAGTTGGTCCAAGTTTGCGGGAGATAACAGAATTGTGACAGAATTATGAACACTAGTTCTCGAACACCGAGAAACAGGAACTTAGTCAAAGCACACAAGCTGGTTCATTGTTTTCCTAGCAATATGCAGTGAAAGCTTGACATGAGCCAGACCAGTTGGTGTTTGAGCAAGACATACACATCAATCTGTTATCCTGTGCTGTTCTATACCAAGAGAGAAGCTCACACAAGGAGCACAATCAAGCCCCGATTCGCAGTTTGCTGAGAGATGCAGGTTCGAGTCCTGTCAGCTCCATGATCACGCTTAGGTTATGCTGTATTTCCTCCTTATTGTTTGTTTCTCTTGTGACCTTTTGGGTATGTTTTGATGGTCACAGTAAATCTATTTCAGTCGGAACGGCCCCCAATTCAAGTCCTAGGTTGGAGATCAGGTGGATCATTGTAACCACATATGATCCGTCTGGCGCAAGCTAGTCCTGTGCATGAGGTAGTGGACTCCCTCAACCATGCAACTCAGCGAATAAGTGACCTGTTGTGCTAATACTAAGAGCCGGCCTGCGCTTAGAATGCTTAAAGGTTGTAGTACCCGGTATGCTTGCCTGCACAAGTGCTCGATAGTATCCGTAAAGGTTGGCCGTCCCTTATGTCTTCGTCTATAGCAACTCAAGCTTACACATGCAAATACGTTGTGTATGCCACAGTGCAGTTTGAAGAAAGCGACGGTCGGCTGCAGATCAGTTTCTAGCACGTTCACAAATGCATGCCAGCTGGTGCACATGATATGGACTTAACATGATGCGTTGGTCATGCTCAATTCGGTATGCTGGCATGAGTGATCATGTGGCATGATGCACCGTTGCCCGCTCGATATCCCCGCCCGGACCGGGGCCCCATTGCAGCTCACATGCACTGGGCACCTAGCTGGCGACAATATACGACATATAACTATATGTCGTACTACATACGTCATATCTATATACATTTCAAATTTCAAGTTGAGCTAGGGCCCGGGGCTATTCAATATAAGAAGTAGCCGCCATCATGTGGCATGTGCTCATATTGGAGAGCCTGAGTATCTTTGCTTCCCCGGTATGGTCAAACGCATGGGTTCTCTTCAGTGACCAAACCCGAGAGACACGATCAATCCAACATTAGTCATACACTCCTCCGTTATCAGGTGGGCGCGCTTTGCGTAATAAAGTACAATTGTCAGCTCGGACCACAAGCATATGATACGGGGTCACATCTATCCGTTAGGTTGACGAGTTACCGTACACCTAGAGCTGCTCAGTTTCTGATATCAACCGCTGTCTACTCAACTCATTCTGCGAAGCGGAGGTGCCCAGGAGCCGGCTGTACATGGTCCCGGACTCGGCAAGAGCGTCCGCGGGGTCAGTCCTCTCTTTTTCCAGCTGTAGGAGCTTGTCACTCAGGCTAGGGTGGTAGAAGAAGCGGTAGTACTTGGTCACCAGAATGGGCCCCAGGCTGACCACACATATCAGCTGCACAACAGGTTCGCCAGAGTGTGAGTATCTTGAACGTATGAAGCAGCTCTTGCGAAAGTGCGACAGGCCCATATGCCAACGCGGAAACCCCAAAAGGATTGCACCTCATGACAACGCACAACGCACCAAAGTTTCCCGAGAAGGCGATCCGAGATGTCAGTGGCTCGCTGTCGCACGATCGGAGAACAAGAAAGGCTCCCGCTGGAAAAAATCGACCCCGCTCCTGACATTTCACACCGTTTCAAGAAACAGCTGCACTCTTGTCTAGCAGAGGCGGCCCACCTTTTGCAAGTCCTTGGCAAGACTACAGCCTTTTCAAAGATTTTGGAAGATCCAGGTCGAATGCAACGAATTTCAGGTAGACCACAGTACTGGTCTTGGACACAAAGGCCGAGCCCTTCTCACCGCTCAATCAGAAACATGATGACGGTTCCCTTGTTGGAACAAAGCCAAAAGCAAAAGCAGGACTCCTGAGCCGCTCACCAGTTGGAGCAGCCCGTAGCGAGGATTAAACAGCATGCGCCCGACCACCCGGTACATACCGCTCCACAGGTACCCGCTTGCGAACAGGCTGACGCCGTAGAACGTCAGCACCGTGCCCCAGAGCGCCACGTGTTGGTAGGCCGTGAAGGAGCTGCGAAAGGATGGAGCCTCTAACGTTAGCGAGGCTCGTGTTAGAGAGGACGTCAGCTGCTGAATTGATTAGGTGAGCCGAGAATCTGCGGGTGAAGAGTACACGTGTTGACACGGCCAAACGGCAACCATTTTACTGGCCCTGATGACGCTCGAGCCCAAGCAAAACACAACTCTCAAGTATATTAACCCTAAGTCTTCCGTAAAAAGCAACGGAACAATCTGCGGTGCTCACTGGGTCTCAACGGCGACAACTAGAGTGACGACCCAGACGCACGCGGAGAAGGCCGCCAGCGCCGCTTCCTCCAGACTGGCGCCCGTCAGGAAGTAGGCGCCTGACGTCAGCATGACCACCGCGCAAGCGTGGAAGAGCGCGCGCGCGAACCAGTGCGTGAATGTCTCGATGCTCAGCAGCCTGCGCAGAAAGAGAGAGAGCGCAGCTCGGTAATGTGCGGTGTGCTGGGCTGTGATTTTATGGGCCGTGACGAGACTGGCCTCTGATCGCTGCTTGAAACACCGTACCACGACTGCCCGCAAATAACGGCTAATTTTCCAGTTTCGCTCAGACTTCCGCCTCCGATTCTGGTCGAGCCGCTTCCTCTGCTTGAGGGCTCCGATTCTGAGCTTCCGCATTGATGAGATTCCGCTAAAAGAACGAGCTCCAAGTGCTACTTATGGAACCGCAAGGTATCACAGCCCTCCCGACGATCTGCACTATACGCGAAGGCGCAGCGGGCTCGCACGCAAAACACGCTTTCAACTCGCCTCACCACCTTGGCAGTCTCAAGCTGAGCAATGCATTTCAGTCTCTACATGCTGTCCGTCGCTTTGGCTGAAAGGCACAATCTTATCGAGCCTCACGTTCCAGGTCTACGACACTGATCGTAATAGAGCCGTGAAACGGTCAGACCACTTTATACTACGGTAACTCAGAGCAAGAAGTCGGTACGCAGAGACAGTCAACACGATCCTGCAATCCATACAAAAACCTTCCCACCTGCTCTGCTGGGCGTCTTGCATGAGCTCCGGGTGCTGCGTCACCGTGACGTCAGCGAGGTCCCGGTTGAGGACGTAAGCCAGGACGGGCAGGCTGGTGTCGAGCACGTTGTACGTGGTCAGGCTGAACGAGTTGAACAGGCTCGTCCCGGCAACCCCGGAGAAGAACGCGAACCTGCAAGGAGCGAAGCGTGACGTCACGATGGGTGACGTTAGCAGGGCTGGAGTTAGACGGGGCGGGGAGTCAGGAAGGGGCACAAGGGACGGTCGGGTTAGGAAGTTGTTCTTGCACGGGTGGCAGTAAATGAGGCAGGCTCGTGACGAGTTGTGAGGGGCTGGCTTCGTGTGTTCAAAAAGCGGAGAACGGCCGGAAACGCTAGACCTCGGGAAGGCCCGCCTTGAGGCTTGCACGACGGCGGAAGATAAGAGGCCTTCAAACTGGACCAGAAGCAAGTGGACCAGAAATCTGCCTTAGCGTGCTCCATCCACTGACTGCATCTCAGTTTGTCGATAAGAACTCCTCCCGTGTTCAAAGAGCAGAAAAGCTTCGATTGGGACGAAGTAGAACTCCGACCGTGCGAAAAGTGGATCGAAAAGGCTCACATGATCTGTACAAAACAGAGCGCGAGCGACTTGTAGATGGAGTACTGCGCGACGAAAGCGGTGCAGAGGTACGAGTGACGGCCGTGAACCAGGATCAGGCGGGCCAGGTACCGGAACTCTGCCCAAAACCAACCGGAGCAAGAGCGTTAGACTAATGACATCGAGAAGCAACCACCGGGACAGCCATGGACACGTCACGGCAGCGCTTTTGACGCTCCTTCTACAGTAGTGACTGTACGCAAGATTCGGACCGAAGCAGCTGCCAGCGGAGACTAACTATGAGCAGCATCGAGAAAATCGTCTGCGTTGAGCATGGCGGACCCTTTGCCGGGGATGGCCACCACAAAAAGGAACCACGTTCAGGTCAATTCCCTTTTTCTGAGACAAAACTATAGAGTCAAACGACGCGTTGACAAAATCCAGAAAGAGTCTGGGCTCAAAGCTTAGCAGGGCACTTCTAGACGCTCTCATATGAGCCCTCAGGTTCCAAGAAATGTCGAACCGTCAGTTCAAAGCAGAGGGCCTCACTGGCGATGCTGTAGTCGGCAGAGCGCGCCGCTTGCAGGCCCTCCCTTCCGCTGATTCCCACCCCCACGTGGGCCTCCTGGATCATGCGCACGTCATTGGCGCCATCGCCGATCGCTAACGTACGTACACCGAAGCCCTTCACGACGGCAACAAGCTGCAAGGAGAGTTTCGAGTGGTTCTGGTTTCGGGTTTTGCTCTTTCAGCGTTTTGAAAAGTTTGTCTGCAACCAGCGTTGTAAGGCTTTGGGATTGTTATGTTCGTCGCAGGGTCTCATGACCAGCGTCTGCGTACAGAACGCTTCACGACGGCACAATAGCATGCCGAAAAGGGGATTTTGTGTGTAGAGTTTAGTCTTTATCGGAAATCCGATCCGGAATACAGATTTGCGAGTTAGACTTTCACGGACTAATTGTTACTTAAAGGCGCGATTCGAAGAACAGGCCAGGTGGGCGGTTCTTGCATCCTACAAAGCTTGCACGTCGGCGCGAACACAGGTGTCTCCGTTTTCAACTGCCTCTTCCACTCAAAAGGACTTCGGTTGTCAAAGAACTAACAATAAGCAGCGACCCGAAGCGAGGTGTTTGCAGAGTTGGTTGCAGATTCCCAGACATCATACCATCAGCAAATAGGTTCACTTGATGGTAGAGCCTCTATGTTGTCGGTTATCGTCAGATCTGCAACCAATTCGCGTCCAAAGGGAAGCCACAGAATTAGCAGTCTCGTCGTGTGACCCACGCAGCCATGCTAAGTCTCTACCGAAGGGACCGTTCTCACGGACCTGCGCTTTTTGGATGGGCGCCGCGCGGCAGAAGATGGCGGTCCGGACCAGGCGGCAAATGTCCGCAAAAGCGTCCGCGTGGTGCTGCAATGCGATGTCCAACACCCAACCCTCGACCAGAAGCGTCCGATCCTGCAGCGACAGCATTGTTAAAAGGTGAGTGCCCGCTACGGAGGTAGATGCGTGGTGAAAATGGAGATACAGATTCTGGGCGGCTCGATTGCAGGAGTTTATTATTTGATTGTTGGACGAACAAGGTAGTTCGAAGCAATGTTGAAAGATGGCTGCCTGCTACGGATGTATAGGCGTACTGAACATGGGAATACAACTTCTGGGCGTCTCGAGTTCAGGGTTTTGTTGTTTTATTGTTGGACAATGAAGGTCGTTTGTAGCGGTCAGACGTGGACAGAAGGAGAGCGGAAGGAGACGGACGGCGTAGAGCACGAGCGCCGCTCGTTAAATCAGACGTCGGCCTGTTGAAGTCGGTCTACTTTGGACAAAGCGGCCCTGGTCTGCATATCATCGGAACAAAGTGGGTGCAAGCAACTGAGGCCAAGTGACACGCAGGATCAAGCTACTGATCCTAAGTGTCGAAACTAACAGTGTTTTAGGATTAGGGTTTCTCGGCGCCTTACCCGGGTGTTTTCCTTAAGCAGGGACAGTATGCGCAGCAAGCTGTCGCCCACTTCGTGCGGAGATGTGCCCTGTACCCGTAATATCTGATGCGCAGAACCTGCAATGTTTGTAAAGTCGAGTCGGATCAGCATGATCGATCGACAATGTTGATCGAGCCTGCCAACCCCGGAAACGCGTTCGAAGATTGCGACGTCCGCAGCCGAATATATATTAGAAAGTGTTCTTAGTGAAGTGAAGCTTAGGGAAGCCGAATGCAGCATCGCCTCGCAAGAGCCCCCCGTGGTCCTTCCGCTTCTTCCTTCGTCTAAGCATAGCTAATCGGAGCCTGCAAACCCACAGTCCTTGCTAACCCATCGAAGACCCCAACAACTTACAAGGGTCGAGGAATCTGAAGCACAGCACCCGAGAAGGAAGCCTAATATCCCCTCTCCTTCTATCTCTATCTCAGTGAGCCTGCCAACAGGATGCACGCTTCTTCCCCATCGTTCCACTTGCCCTTACAAACGCTCTCTGCAAAAGGAGCAAACATGCGGCGAAGTTTCGCATCTTCACCTGAGCCAGCCAGCCCACACGCCTTGGCGATCTGCACGGCAGTAGAATGGCGGTCTCCCGTGAGCATGAAGAACCGGATCCCCGCGCGCCGCAGCAGGGCAATGGTTTCCGGCACGCCCTCTTGCAACTTGTCCTCGATCGCAGTGCACCCCAGCAGCTCGAGCCGCGTCTCCAACAGCGAAGCCACCTCCGCCGTCCGCTCCTGAAGCAGGACGAACCAGCGCATTGAGACTTGGTGCTTTGTGAGCGGCTCAAATTGCGCTTAAGTCCACGCACGTCGAAACTGGTTCACCGAAGCAGATGCAAATTTCATCAGCGTCCGGTGTTCTGCAAGTCTGACGTGATCGAAAGTGGAAGAGCGCGGAAAGTGAAAGATCGCTCGTCATAGACGACTCGGTCGGCACGGTTCGCGATGCCCGTCAAAGAAAGTAGAGCAGGAAAGATCTTCTCTAAGCCGGAACTTACGCCCCCAGCCTTGTTTCTCTCAGTCACCCCCACTGCTTCCCATACTTCGCAAATCTCTCCCACGACCTTCCTCTCCACCTGAAACTTTCAATCGGCCCCAAATACAGCATTGTCCGCGCATTGTGCCGGTTTGTGTGTCACCTTCTCTGGTTGAATGTCACTTAGCAGCGAACCGGATACCTACACTAAGGTCTCCACTGAAAGCGGCAGGCTGCTTCAAACAAGCTGTGAAGTAAAAAGCACTCACGTCTCTGTCTTGGAGCGCCACCCGTGCCTCTCGCATTTTGCCCGCCCACTCCGCATACTCGTCCTCGTCAACGCTGCGCGCCGCCACCACCATGGTTCGCAGTCCATGCCGCGCATAGTCCTCCAGCAGCGCGGCCGTCGAGGCCGTCTCCTCACCTGTTCAAACAAGGTCAATGAGCCAAGTCACATGGGCGCGGTAAGTCGTAGTAGCTCCAGCTTTTGGAGCTATCGAGCTACCGCAAGTTACATGGGGCGCGGTACAGTGCGGTAGCTTGACGTTTTTCCAGGCAGGAAACTGCCGTGCTTACCCCGCTTGCCGCACCAACCACGATGCGGTGAGCCCGGTGAGTTGCGGTAGGGACAGGACTTACGCCAAATTTCGGCAAGTTACTGGAGCTATCGAGGCTTACCGAGCTACCGAGGCTTACCTCGACTTACCAAGCTACCACGCTACCTCGTGTAATACCGCTCAATGACTGTGCACTTTCGTCGTATGACTTTTGCAAGTGCTCCAGTAGAAGAATGGGCTTTTAAGCAGATGGGCAACTCTCAGGAAGTCGCACACAGTTGAGGGTCGGCAATTTTTAAAAACAGCTGTTATATGGCCGGGTGAGGAACGTCTTTCCGTAGTTTCAGTTCGCAAGAAAGCCAAACCCCGTGTCACTGAGGACCTGATTGCGGAGGGGTTTCGCCTTTGACAAACCCGCATCGCCAGAGGAGGTCCGCGAATCATGTTCTGTATCAGCGACCGGTCCATCTGTAAAAGCTGCAGACCCTCCGCCGACGAAATGCGTATGTACACTCAAAAACTCCGCTACAGCCGCTGAGGCACCCGTACTGGTCGACATCTGGAAACAACAGCACCGTTGCTTAACCTGTTCGCAGCCTGGGGAAGATGGTCTCGTCCGCGCCTTTGGTGTACAGCTTCAGCCGCCCCGACGCCCGCTCGCGCACCACCACGCTCATGCGCTTGCGCTCCGGCGAAAACTCCAGCGTCTCAAGCAGCTCGAAGCGGGCACTCTCTTCACCTAGCGCGACAACTGTCAAAAACAGATAGGAGGCTCGTATTTGGAGCTAAAAACGTTGAAAGTTCTTGTAGTTAACCTTTTGCTTTCACTCAAGCGAAACCTCCAGCGTCTCCAGGAGGTGGGCGTCCCCTCTGTCAAACAACGACGAAGAGTCCAGATAAAAACCAACGAACGAAAGAAGGAGGCCTCAGGATTGCAACGGCGGTTGGCGCTGCATGCGTCGCTGACGTTAGCTTCACGATGCGAACACTTCTTCCTTCAGACCCAGGCGTCGGATCTTTCCTTTAGAAGAGAATCCTTGCTAACATGGGGTTCAGTCTACGAAGGCCGTCTCGCTTCCTCGCAAAGAAACCGCTCTCTCCGAAAAATGGTCGTGCTCGGAAGAAGCTTGCTTGCCCAGAACGGTCTTCAGATTCTTCTGACGGTCGAAGTTCTCCCGGAGACTCGTGTGTCTCCTTTCAGACAAAGCACTCACAAACCACTCACAAACCACCGATCACTGCCCGCGGAATCCGCACTGAACGAGCGTCCGCCCGTTCCTGCTCAAAAGCTGGATCCAGTCGATCGTCGTGCGTAAGCACTGACGTCCAGTCTTTTCAATCCGCAAGGCGAAAACTGTCCTCACCGAGCGTCTGTCCCTTCTTGCATGATCGCCCAGAATCTAAAAGCGTGCCGAGTTGGTTGTCGTTCCGCAATCACAGACGTCCGATTCCCTCAATGCACAATTGAGGAACGGCCTCACCTAGCTTCTGTCCCTCCCTGCTTGAACGCCCAGAGATCTTACCGTCCCCAGTCCGCTGTCACGCTTGACAATTGCCCTCCATTTGTTTCGACCTCGATTCCAATCAAACGGAGAATTTAACATCGTCCTCACCAAGCGTCTGCCCCTCCCTGCTCGCCAGAGTGAACCCCAGCTCCGCCGCTGCGCTCACGAACGCCAGCTCGTCTTGGGACGCCACCTTGAAGCTGCGCACGCCCCGCTTCTGGACAGGTACCACCGTGTTGCAAACCGCCAGCGCCAACACCAGCTGCGCCTCTGCTGAGTCCGCGCGCTCGAGCGCGCGCCGGAGGTCCGGGTCTGCAGAGGATCGAGAGTAGCCTGACGATGATTTACCAACACTTTGCACAATGAGAACCCCGACGTTTACTTGTTCAAAGAGACGTTGAAAGGCAGGGTTGACGTGCCCGAAAACAGATTGCCCGTCCTACTGTATTTCGCGGTCCGCTTTTCGTTGAATAAACTGAACCTTAAAATTGTCAGGAAGGCTACTGGACAGCTGTTACATGCTTTCGTCGCCAGACTGCTTTTCTTGAGCATGAGATTCTTAACAGCTCATCCGAGACTGTATCTAAAGCTCAAATTCAGGAAGGATCTCGGGAAACCCAGCAAGCAGAACCCAGCTTCTGGAAGGTTTCCAAGTGCATGCCCCACTCACCCGTCACAACGTCTCCCGTGGTCTCTCCGTACGCCCGCCCGCGGACACCGCACTTTTTGAGCAGCATTACGTTCTCCGTCAGCGTGCCCGTCTTGTCCGTCAAAATGTACTGCACCTGGCCCAGGTCTTCGGGGATGCCCGTGCTGCGCACAGAGATACACGTTTCCAAACCAGTCAATTATTGGCTCAAGTCGCTCGTGATCGATGCCCAGGGGTTTGCACGCTGGACGGTAGGTTCCGGGTTGCCCGGCTGCAAAACGCGAACAGCTTGTGCATCCAACAAGCGTCAAGCCTTGTGAGTGCTGAGCTATCTGATGGAGCACAGCTGGTATACTTTTTGTTGCGTCGCGAGGGTGCCGTTCGACGGCCGCCGTTCAGAGCTCAATCGGCTCGGTCCTAGGCCTTGCGAGATGCTCGTTTGGCCGAGCACCCATTTCCCCTCGTAATTCTCTCCTAGCGGTTTCTCGCTTATTTATTCTTGGGCCAGCGTTCCGAAACCCGCTCGTCGCTACTAGTCAAACCCAGAGATCGTCTCGCGGGATGGTCAACGGAAATTCACGAGCTCCGGCCTGCCACAAACTGCGCCTAGAAGAACGAAATTGAACAATGAATTACGGACAGGACCAAGCCCAACACAGCGATCCGTCTATTTGCGTACTCCCGGATGGCGCCTAAATCGGTCTGCTGCTATGTTCTCACTGACGATGCGAAGCCGTGTCTTTTCGTCCACTACACTTCCAGGAATATCATAGCGAGGAAGGTGTCGAGCTCTTAGTCCCTGTTTCACTTGTCAACGAAGTTCTCTGATCATTTGACACCGCTAAACGAAAGCGCGACTCACTTGCTGGCGCGCGCGGGCGTGTCGGTGTCTGCGTCATACAGCTGGAGGTCCCAGTCGATGAACTTGGAGTAGGCCGCCTTCACCAGATCCATCGTCACCTGCGGACATCCAAACAGTTGCAGCGCATTGAGGGCTTTTCGACTGACGGGACTTGAGCGAGACCCTCGAGCCAAAGCTTAGGATTGCCGACTTCTTTGCTGCAACTGCGTAAGGTTGCCGCCATTGAGCTTGCCGGGGTCAGGTGTGCAGAAAACCCACAACACTGAAACATGAAAAGCAGTCTCGGACGAGTCACTTCCGACAAACTTGCTTCCAAACCCTGGTGTTTCGTCCAATTCACAAGCCAAGGCGTACGGATGCGAGCTGCCCTTCTCGGGGTTTGCGTTTCGGAACTGAGGGTACAGATTTCGGGGTTTGCTTTTCGGAACTGAGAGAACAAATTGCATTCTCCGAGAAGCGCAAGCGGGGCTTGGGCCCTGGCATCAGTGCTGATTGACCTCAGTTCACGGGCACACAATCTGAGCGGACGGTCCCATCTCAAAGAGAGCGAAATTCCAAGGGGGGCGAAGGCAAGGTGCCAGACACTGGCTTTCCTCTTCGTTTTTTCCTGGTTTGCAACACCGGAGCTCTCATCCAAATCTCTGGTAAAACGGAGAAGCAAAAGAAGGGTCGACGGAAACAAAGGATTGAGGGCCACACCTTGAGCGAGATGGGGATCATGATGGAGCTCAGCAGCTCGAAGCGCAGCGGGATGACCGAAAAGTCGAACCAGCGCTCGCGGCGGGGGTACTCCAGGTACCACAGCTGCGAAAGGGGAGAAGAGGGAAAGATGAATCGGCGTTTCAAACTACTGTTCCACCGAAATTCTACGCGCGAAGGAAATCCACACGTCGGCTCTGCACCGTGTCCCAAGCCACGAAACGATGAGACTCCAATCTGCTGGCCCGAGCAGTATTGAGGGTGTCACTGTGTCATAACGGCAGCTTCCCGGAGCCGCTTCAAGTATGTTTAGAGCCTTTGAGGTCTGAAATTCCGCAACCATGGCCAAGCTAAGGCATCTAAACAACGAAGTGGATTTCACGTGGTCCAACCACCGGTTCCATCGTCTTCGGGGGACGACGCCAGCTACTGCTTACTGAGCCATCTAGCCACCTGATCCGGAGTTCAATCTGTGCCGTATGCCGGATCTAGACTGTCCGATGAACAATTGTTGAGATCACCAATCACCTCGGCGATTTCGCAATGGGCCAACAGATTCCGACCCAACGACGGGGTCCGACCGATAACCCAGTAATTGCTGCACCTGTACTCAAATCATGGTCGAAGCTCGGAATGAGTGAGATTTCCAGGTTCGGAAAATCTCTGATTTTAGGAAAAGCAAGGTTTTAGAGCTGTGCTGATGCTTCCGCAGTCTCACCCGGTGCCGCTGGCGCTCCTTGAGGACGTCCCCTGAGGCGCCCATGACCGCAACGACCAAAATCTGGAACGCGAAGATGGCGCCCGTCAGCCGGTCAATTACGGCGTCCGTTGCGGCCAGCTTCACCGGGGTGGCGCCGCGGCTCATGCCCAGCTTCGTCTCGTTGCCTGCAGGAAAGGCAAGCGGGGTTTGAAGGCAACTGTGCAGAGTAGGCTCCACTCAAGGTCTGTAGGGCACTTGTCTTTGCCTCGTCGAGGAGTAGGCCTTGGATGTGACTGCCCAACGATCATACGGTGGGAATGTCGTGCAGAGAAGCAGAGTCTTGCAAGAAGTGTTGTCTTCCTTGATTGGATGAAAGGATCGGATCTTCAATCACTTGGATGCATTTCCAAACGACAATTTGAAAGCCGTTTCGAGGCACCGTCTGAATGGCGAGGGTGCTTCTGCAGTCTTTCCCAGCATCCAGTTGCAACTCCGAACGGTGAACTTCATTTCAGATACTGGCATCGGAGGAAACACTACTACTCTTTGCTGTTTGCCGACACAGACCTTGTCGCTTTGTTGTGTCAACAGGCAGCATCTTCAGACTACCAACTCCGTCTGCCGTCCACCTTCTACTACCAGCCAATAGCTGTAAACCGAAGAAATCTGAATGGTGTCATCATCAACCGACGAGCCAAGTGGACCTCCCAAAAGGACACCGCTTTCTATGTATGCCTACCCACAAGTGGCCAGCAAAATCTGCTGTAACGGACCTGTGTAGACGGCAACGCCACAAACCCAGGCGGTATTCTTGAGGTAGCACGACTGCAAGAGCGTATTCTCGATGCTCAGTGGAACCAGGCCGTCGTCGGTAGACCCGGCTGCGGGACGAAACAAGGCGTCGAAGCGGGACACGTCCTTGTTGGGGAGGGGGCATTCGATGGATCCCTGCAGCGAAAGATCGCGCTCACGTCGGCACAGTCGGGTGGGCCAAGAAGGAGGATAGTGGTTGGAAGAGGGAAGCGATGACCTAAGGGAAGAGAAACGTGCTAAGGGGCAGAAGCTGAAAGGTGCAGCGAGGACTGGAGAGTCCTCGTAGTAGCACGCCAGGGCTGCTGGAAACCAGACTCGAAATTCTTGCCGAACTTTTCCGTTCAGTTTTCTCTACCAGGCTTACAATTAACTGTCGCTGCCTTCGGTCAAAATTGGCAACGGCAATTGCGGCGAGCAATGAACAGCACTGCACGACAACCAGTATCAGTCAGTCTCAATCGGATGACAAAGTGCAAACCGAAAACGTCTTTCGTTCCGGAGACTAGATTTTTGACGGCTATACCTGTTCATTTCGAAGCAGAAGAAAAGTACGTTGCGGAGCATACCTGAGGTTTAGCACTCACCGTTATATGTACCATCTTCTCAATGGAGGCTGTTTCTTCTGTTGGTAATGCAACGTAGCGGGTCTTCAAGTTGGTCTCCCCGTCCAGAGCCGCCGTCTGCAGAGCATGCGAGGCAAAGTTTGGCACAACAGAAATGCATGTTCAAAAACTCAAGCTGTTATTCTAGACTCCAGTCCAGCTTCGAGCTGCAGGAAACAATCGCACACCCCCTTCCTTGCTTTTCTGTCGAATTTGCGTGATGTTTGCACCCTTTGCCTACACCACCCCTTATTCCTTCTCCCAATTTTCTGTTCTTCAACGGCCTAGGCGCTTCGCAATATTTCCGCTTAAGCCTGGACTGACCTGGACGTAGCAGTGTCCCAGCGGATCCGCCGTCCCAAGCAACACGATGTCACACGGCACCTCGTCGTCCTCTTGCAACCACACAACGTCGCCTACGCACACATCTTGGGCCATCACCTGCAAGAGATGACGACCTTGAGAATTGTGACAGAAGTTTGCCTCCTTTCAGGTGGTATGTGATGAGTTCAGCAGTCTGTCCATCATTGAAACTCTGTGGAATCTGTTCGAGAACTGAGAGATGAGAGCAATGAATTGATCAAGCATGGTATTGACTAAGAAGAAAAAATGCACCATGATAAGATACAGAATGACCCAAGAAAAGGGCTAAGGCTTTCTGTTGACACAGCTCATACCCAAGGGCTTATATGCTTTTGCCACCAACTTACGTACTTCTCAACTTGGTGAACAAGATGCGCAGTGAAACAATATTAAGCCCTCAATCATACTCCAGACCAATTGAAAACTTTACTTGCTCTGCACCCGCACCCCACCCGCACCCGCACCCACTAACTAACTCCACCTGTCTCAGCACAGCTCTCTGATTGTTCACTCAGCTTTTCTTTACAGCATCATTGAAATCCAACTCACAGGAACGCGTTGGCCGTCCCTGGTTATCCAAACCCGCTTCTGGTTAGCCTCCTTGTCCATCTTCCAGCGCCCGAGGTCGTCCCATGCCTCCTTGATGGAGGTGACGGCAAAAATGAACAGGAGGGGGCCCCATGTGGTGAGCGGGTTCACGGGCGTGATCAGCGGCCACAGCTGGAGCACCGCAATGATCAGAAAGTACTTGTTCATGAAGCGGCTGCAGAGAAGAGGGGGTTTGGGGTAAGAGTATGTTGGTACGAATATGTGGGAAGGAAATATTGCTGGCGGTTTGTTGAGGGTGTTCTCCATGAAAAGAGGATTGGCGGCCACAGCAGAAGTCCTTCATAAGGAAGTGGCTGCAGAGAATAAGTGTTGGGGTGTCAAGGAAAGTGGTTGACCATTGATTGTGAGTGTTGACCAAGGTAAGAAGATAGCAGCCACAGAAGAAGTCGTTCGTTGTGAAGTGGCTGCCAAGAGGTACGCAATTCAGCAACAAAGTGCACAACAATGAGTCTGTTGACCAAGATGAGAGGGACCACCGTCAGGGCACAGCAATGATCAAGGAATGTCTGTTTGTGAGGCGGGGGCAGAGCAGATAGAGTCGGCAGTTAAGCAAGTAGTGTTAGTTGTTTAAGGGGCTTCAATCAAATGAAGTTGGTTGATCTTGGCATTCTTAGGCTGGGCGCAGAACTTTCTGGAATGCAAACGGGCTGCAAACTGCTTTCCAATCTGCTTGCAGATGAGATGTGCCATAGAAAGTGTTCAACAAAGTTGGTGGTAAGAAAGGAAAAACTCTTATTGACACAACAATGGAGACAGCCGCTTTTTCTGGGCTGACGAACAAAAGTTGGTGGACATGAAGTACAATCAGTCCTATAAACAACTCCATCGCATAGATATTTGGGCTCCACACACGCTGGGCAGTTAGGCAAGTTGCATATTTAGTCGCCACTCTTTCTCTTGTAGCTGCACAAATCCAGAAGCTAGTGAACAATTCACATTCTCACCTGAATTGTTCCATCGAATTTTTGGGCAGAAAAGTCAGCAACGTGTACTTGGTGTTTGCAACCTTGTTCCGCAGCCTCGGTTGGTTGACGTTCTTGCTTGTGTTGATGGTGACGCACCTCTTCGCTACAACTTCAGAGGCGGCTCGGTCCGCCATAGCTCTGAATGGGCTTGCCACCCAGCTAGAGCAGTGTCACGAAGGGGAGAAGTGCAGCTGCTTCAGCCGACATTCCTGCCCAGAATTGTTGCATTGAATATAGCTCAGGAGTCAATGCATGAGCGAGAATAGGCCATCACTGTCAGCGCTTTCAAGCTCTTTTTAGTGGGTTATTACATTCTTTGACGGGTTTCTCGTGGCCTGCTCCAGTCGTCATTCAAGCACGGAAGGTGGCCGGGTTTGTCGACTCTGTGTTAAAACCTGACCCGAAGAAATTGTAAATTCTTCACGTTTGAAATTAGTGAAGAATTTCGGTTCTCTGCCGCGAACCGTAATTCGAATTCGAATCTCAGTCTGCGACACTGCTGACGTCAGCAGATCTTCGCCAAGCGAAGTATTTAAAGTGGGCGTCTTGGGACCCGGAACGCCTGACGTCACACAGCGACATCGAAGCATGGGTTTGTGGTATTCTGTCGCCAAGAAGTTGGTATCAGAGCTTGTGCCCCGAGCACTCGGCCCTGCAAAAAGTGGCCGGTTGATGACGTGGCGTATCAACGCCCTCTTTAAGCGAACGAAGTTCGCTCATTCTTCATTCTGCGATGTGCGAACTACAGACACTGCTAGGCTCGACGCAACTCTCTCTCTAAGTTCCTTCTCTCTTTTCTCCTCTGTCCATGCATCTGTGCATGGCTTTCGTCTTCCTTCACGTGACGCTCTAGTCCTCTTTCGTTCGTGATCCTCTGCTTTGCGATCTTCATCAGCTCTGACGATGGCGGCCCTTCGAAGCCAAGAAGCTCTTCCTGCTGATGGGGAACTGCCAGGAAATGAAGATGCTGGAGCTGAAGTCAGGGAAGTTCCTCCGCGCAACGAAGAAGAACAAGGCCATGCTCAAGACGAAGCTGCGCTCAAGGCAGCCGAAGACCATGCTCAGCAGGACATTCGCGTCCCTCCTGCTCCGCTTCGTGCTCCTCCTGGTCTCGCGCAGGGCTTCAATCCATTTGTTGCTCCTCCTATGAATGGCTATGGGCCTTCCCCCTTCGGTTTTGGTGGTCCTTTCAATTTTCAGCACAGCAGCCAGAGTGCTTTTACACCTCCTCAGCGCTTCCAGACCGAGCAACCTCCGTCTAACCAGCAACATGCAGCACGCATGGAGCAACCTCCTCTTGGCTTCCTCGATCCTCAGTTTCAAGGCATGCTCACGCACATGTTCGCTGCTTCCGAAGATCGGATCGCTTCTCGGATCGAGCAAAAGCTTTCCGCTGTTCAGGACTCTGTTTCTGCTGGTGCTGGTTCTTCTTCCTTCGAGAGCAAGAAGCGCAAGGGTGAGTCTCTCAAGAACGAAGGCATCAAGAAGCAGTATGTTCCTCTGGAGGAGGCTTCTCTTCACATGCACGAGGTTCGCGACAGGGTCGCTGCTGTGGCTGATGGTGATCTTCCCCCCCTTGGTCCTGAGGATGCAGAGAAGCTCCGCCAGCACCTGGATGAAGGTATCGACATCTGCTCCAAGCGCTTGCAGTTTCTCGAAATTGCTGAGTCAGAAGGCTGGAATGTTTTGAAGAAAGTCGAAGAGCAAGCTTTCATCTCCACTCTCCCAGACGAACTCCAAGCACAGGTCAAGAAGGCTAAGAAGGCTGTCAAGGAAGATGAGCAATCGAAGGAGAAGAAGAAGTCCTCTGGCAGGAAGTTTCGCGGTGGAGGTGGAGGTTTCAGGGGGTGGTTTCAGGAGGGGTGGTTTCTTGTAACGATTACGACTGGTTAAGCCTAACCTCGTTCTCGACAGGATTTCGTTGACCGCGAGTTAGCGAAACGGCGGTGGTTACGTCTTAACGACGCACTGCGTAGCTGTCTGCAAGACGGCGTAATATCCCGGATGGATCGGATTCAGTGAGCCGATATCACCGTTCAGGATAAGTTGTGTTCGGCTTCGCCGTTCGATGCAGCCAAGCTTATCTGTGTTCTGCACAGCTTGCGTGGCTGGTCTTGTCACAAGTAGTGGACAAGGGAGAGCTATACGATTAGCCGCATAATCCACG